TTAGATTTTAAATAAATATTTAAATTTTATAATTTTATATAGGTATATAAATAAAAAGCCCTTTTACTTTAGTTTAAGCCTTTTTTTTGCGGTATATTATTTTTGGTGCTAAGCGGTATCGTTTTTAAAAAGCTTTTAAAAGATTTTTTTAATTTTGTTAAAATAATCGGCTTTTATTATTTAACGCCGTTAAACGCCGTAAATATCGCTTTTTTATTTATTAAACTCGTTTTTTAGCTCGCGGATAAATATAAAAAAGGATAACGTCGAGATTTTTAAAATTAGTATTTCCGGACGGCCTTTATTTCGGCAGTGCTTATTACGGCGGTTTATATTAGGCAAAAAAACGGCGAAAAATTAAATAAATACGCTTAGCGCTTTTAATATTTTAGCTTAGTTTACGTTTTTATTTATTAAAAATCGAGAATTTTATAATAAAGATATAGTTAAGTTCCGCTTATTATAGCGGCGTATACGGCAAAATCCTTTACGCGATTTAGTGCCTCGCGACGTTTTGCTTAATATATTTTTAGCATTTTTTTTAATTAGCCGGATATATTTTAAAATATGCTATATAATACCGCTTTTATGCTTTTTAAGCTATAAGTATAAATGCTCGGGGATTTTATTATCGTTAGCGTAATTTAGTATTTTTTTTTAAGTTTTTTTGCAAAATATAATAACGGTACTAAGGTATTTTATTTAGGTACCTAGCTCGAGCTTAGCCTAATGTATAAAAATGCGTACGATTAATTCCGCCTTATAGGGGCTATTACCGATTTTTTAGATAATTATACCTAAGGGCGCCGTAACGTTTTCGAGCTATCTAACCGTTATAAAAAAGATATTAAAAAAGACGTTAGGGATCTCCGCCTTTTCGGTAATATTAAGCTAGCTTTGCGTTATTTTAGCGAATTAGGAATATAAAGCAAATATTAGGCGATAAATAAAAAATATGCAAAAATATTAAAGGGCTTAAAGGCTTTTAAAACGCGGGCCTAGTGTTTAGGCTTTTTTTATACTATTTTTACCTCGTATTATAAAAATTAGCGTAATACTATTTTTTCGGTTTAATATTAATATATTTAATATTTATTTAAAATTACGACGTTGTTATTTTACGAAGCTAAATTATAATATTATTAGCATTATATAATCCCGGTGTGTTTTAAAATTATATATTTAATTTTTTTATATTATTCGCGGCTACGGGCGCAAAGCTGGCTAGGCCTTAAGTCCGATTACGCGCTATATTAAATAATAAGGTTAGCTAGACCTTTTTGCTCGCTATATATAATAATAATAATTATAATATTTACGATTAAGCTATTAATTAAATATCCGCCTACGCCATATTATAACCATTTATTTTTAGCCTAAAATATAAATACCGCTAGCGGTATTCTTTAACTACGCAAATACCGCTAATAACGCTCCTCGTTTTTACCTTATTTTTTAAATTTGCCTAATTTATTTATTTGGTTATTTTTTGCCCTAAAAGCGAATAGGAGGAATAGCGCGATATTTAGGATAATATGCGTAATTCCGATTTTTTTTAGCCCGGCCCGGCGTATAACTAGCGTAAATGCCTAATAGCTAAAGTGGTAAAGCTAAGGTGGTAACTTATATCGAAAAGCTTTTTAGCGTAATTTGGCTAAAATAAACGATAATAAAAGTAGCAATAATCGCAGGCTAAAGGCGATATAATAGGTTTTAGGGATATTTTTCTTCGTTAAGCCTTTTAATAAATTTAAATATATTTAGCCGACGTATATTATATCGCTTTTATTAATAACGCGGGAGTCTTTCCCCGGGCTTTATGCGGTTTATTATAAATATTATAGGATAATAAGCGCCGGCGTATACTGCTACGCTTTAATATTTTATTTTAATCCCTTTTATCGGCGGATTTACGATTTTTAAGTTAATTAAGCCTAGAAAATGTAAATGTCGTAAACGATTAGATTTTAGTAATACAAATTTTTATCGGCTAGCCGGGCCTAAAAGGGAAAAAGGGAAATAATTTTTTTTATAAAAATAGCATTATATTTAAAATATAGCTTAGGTTTATTAATATACCTAGGTTAATAATTTAGCCGCGATTATATATAAAATTATTTAGGTCGCTTTATAGTGGTTTCGCAATTGCGACTAAAGATATAAAATACCGAGACCAATTAATATAGCTTTAATTAAATGCTTTAACGTAATATTAAGCCTAGCTTTTAATATTGCCGTTAAAAGGTATTTTTTTTAGCCTAATTTGCTATTTGGCCGTAACGCTTTTCGCCTGCCGGATAACGTTTACGTTTAAATAATCTTTGCCGCCTGCCTGATTTTTATTGCTTATATTGATTTTTGCTTTATTTTATGCTTTTAATTTTTTTATAATTTTAATATATTTTATTAAGCTAAGCAGAATTTTAAGCATTTAGCCTGCATTTTAATCGTCGCACGTAAATATATCTTTTAGCATTCCTACCGCCTAAACGTTAAAAAAGCGTTTTATAAGTATTTAATAGCAAAATACCGTCGCGGTATTTCGTAAGGCCAATAAGGACCGAAAATTGCTTATTAATTTCGATAATAATAGGACCTTCCTAAAGGCCTAGCTAATTATTATACGGGGCTTATACGAAATAAAGTTTAAATAGGAGGACCTGGAGCGCCTTTTTAATTTAGCCTTTATTTTTGCCGACGGGAATATAACGTATATAGCTATATACCTTAAGCAGCTAATCGGCGTTAATAAGGCCTTATATAAGGCTAAAAAAGATTATATAATATATATTTTTAAGTTTGCTAAAGGTTATAAAGATTTAAGTACCTTATTATTTATTAAAAACAAAAAAGGCGAGACCGTCGGCCCGGTTTCCGCTAATAATTAGGTAAATTTGCTAAGCTTTTATAAAGGCTTTTATTAACGTTAGGCAGGGCTTTATCGGACCCGGTATAAATAATTAAATTTAGCCGGATAAAATAAGCATAAATTTCCCGTCGCCGGTCCAAAAGCCCGAGGGCGCTTAGGCCGGCTTTAGCGGCGCTTGGTTTTAGGCTACGCCGCGCTAGCCTTTCGATAAAACCGCCGCCGGCTAAGCCAGACAGTTTTTTAGCTTATAAAGCAAAAAAGATAATAAGTTAATCTTTAAAAAAATAATCGAATTTATAATACTTGTTATTAAGCTTATGCCGAAAAAGTTCGACGGAACCAAAAATACCTATTAGGTTGCTTTTATTAAAAAATATAAGCCAGCTATCGCCAATCGCTTAACGGCTATCGATAAGCAAAAAGAGGAGCTTTAGGTTTAATTAGACGAGCTGGGCAGGAATTTTAAGCAGGTTACCGAGGCCTTTAATTAGCTAAAGGTAAATTAGGATAAGCTGGCCGACTTTTTTAATCGCGTAAGATTTAATATTAAAACCTTTTAAAGGCGTAAATTAAATAATAAGCTTAATAAAGTCCTAATTAATATAGCCGAGAGTTAATAAATTAATATAAAGGTGCTTACCTATATAATTTATTAATAACTGCATTATTATTTTCGACTTTTAAGGTAAAAAGTATGCTATAATATATTTTAATGTTATAGCATATTAAAATAAAATAGCTATATAAATAATTATTATTAAATATCGAGTCTCGAATACGATAATATATGTAAACTGCTGGTAAACCAATGCAAGCTAATTATAAGATAGGTGCACGGACGCCGCTAATCCTAATTAGGTTAGCTTTATGCAAGTTCCACCAACTAAAACACTGTCTCTCGAGGAAAACTAGGCAAAATTAGGATAATTTTTCTCCTTATGTTGAACTGTAAGGACCCTTTCCTAGTATACATCTGCCGGCAATAGGAACCCTGACCTGGGTTCAGCGTCATATACCGTTTCTGAAACTTCGCCACAACTTGCCTCTTGTCACAACAAGATTTGCCCAGCAGGCAACAACTCACACAGACCGCTGCTTGACTCATGGTTGAGTTCAGGGCTGCGGCAGGCATGATATTGATCTGGCCTGTGACGGGTTGCTGCAGGCATCCGTTGTTGCAGAGGCCATCGTCTTGGACGCCTTGGATATAGTTTTGTAGTTTTCGCCAAATTGTAAACTTTGTTGGGCATCATTCATCTTTAGACTTGAATATATATCTCTGAAGCCGTGTTGCAATCATTTAAAGTTTAAATATGCTCAGCAGACATTCATGTTCATAAAGAGTCTCAAGGGGATCTGGAAGGAAACACGAAGTAGCGTCATGTCTTCTACGCAAACGCAAAGATCAATAGCAGAAGGGGCATCTTGAAAAGGTTCAGAGAGCAACTAGCAAGAGCAATCTCTGTAATCTATGTCGTGCTTACCACTGCGAAGACCCTCCCGCTGGTCCCACCAAAACACTGTTTTATTTGTGTTTGTCGTGTTTGCCCAAGTCCGAGTTGCCATAATTCCACCTGACTTACCTAGACAAGTTTGAGCATGCAAAGTCTATACCTCATTATTTACCCATCTAACTATACCACACGTGCTCCGCCTGGTGATATTGGTTCTCGCTCTAGGGACACATTACCTACATCACGGGGAACGGGGTAGCTGAATGGACCGCTCCACAGATGGCAGACCACGTCAGCTTACAGCTAGACCCCATACCCTCAGGTTCCCATTCGGGCAGTTAGTTCTCTTACCACACAAGATCGACCAAGAAATCCGACCATCTGGACGATATCATGGTATTATAGACAGCTCATGTTCCTTGTGATGCACCTTGCGTTTGATGTATCTTGAAGTAGCGGCCATACACAACTTACAAAATGTATATCAAATATGTACACCAATATATGAATACAATAGGTCTTAAGGTCACTATCACGCCCCAAACCACAGGCACACCGACAAAAACAAAGAGTTACTCCACACAATTAATATGAAACATGGCAGAGTATGCACACCGAACAATTACTTGCGATAGTTGTTTTGCAGTCAATTCACTCATCGGTCTTCATGGTGGTGTCTATCGCTTGAGAGTCTTTTGCTTGCTGCCCTCGCTTCGTGCTGCCCTTCCTTCCACCAAAAGTCCCTTCTTTTTCCGCACACCGTCCATGTACCTCTTGGCCACATTCTCCTTGTCAGCCAGCTCTCCAAGATCTTCCAAGTCATCCTCGGTAAAGGGCTGCCAGAAGGGATCCTGGTCGAGAATCTCATAACCTGTGAAGATGAGCTGTGGTTGCGCGGCGCCGGATGTGCGCTTCCGCATCTCGTCGGCAAATCCAAACGACTCTGCTACCGGAAGGACCGAAGAGATGGTGAAGAACGGTGTTCCCTCCTTCATTGACTCTGCAATCACTCGACCACGGCGGCGGGTGAGCACATCGTAGACTCGGCCCAAGACCTCAGCTGTTGGTAGGTACCCGATGTTAGTCTCGCACTCACTTGCACAGGGTTACTGGGATCGGATGTCTTCTTCAAACTTACTACTGGCTTGAATCTCGCACGAGTACATGGCGAGCATCAGTCTTGGCGACCAGTCAAGGAAGCCTTGGCGGATGGAGTTTTGTACCGTCTTGATAACCTCACCTGTAAGCCTGCCCAGGCTATCCCTTGCTGAGGTTTCATCCTCCGTAGGAATAATGGTAACGTCCTCAACAATGACAGCAATACCTTGTACAGGCTCGTTGCATAAGGGTCCTTGATTAGTTGCGAGCTGGAAGGCATAACTGATCTTGTCTCGCAGGTGTGCAGCACTCAACTTCTCGCTGACTGCCGGTGCTTCACCGGCGTCTGCGGCTCCAAAGACCTTGGCAAGACAGCCAGCTTGAGTCGCGTCCAGCAGAAGATTAGGTCCTGTTCTCCGGGGACCAAAACCGGCAATCTGATCCACGGTGCCCTTCCACATTTCACGACCCTTGCCTTTCTCAAGAGCTTCCTGCAGTTGTTTTTTCAAATCCTCGACTGAAAGACTCTTTCCTTCAAGAACATCGCTGTCGGCCTCAATCACCACTTGACCCTCTTCTCCATTGTTGGCTTCGTCTTCATCCTGGACGATGTGCTCGGAATAGAGCTTCTTGATTGCTCCTGAATTCTTCAAAAGGAATGTCGTGACGTTTTGAGGCAGTGGCCGAACCCTCAATGTGATGCTCACTTGCTTCGAGTTTGTTACCCCAACGACAGCACCGCGCCCGAGTTCCTTGTTTGCCGGTGGCTTCATCTCCTCGGCCCGGACGGTGGTTTCTCTGTAAGGTACAATGGGTTCGCCTGCCTGGATGTCGCATCGTGCAAATCGCTCCTTGAGATCTGTCAAGCAACGTTCCAGGTGAAGTTCGCCTGCTGTGAGAAGCACATGCTCACCACTGCCGAAGCGTTCATACTCGGCGCAAGGGTCACTCTGGACAAGTAGCTTTAGACCATGGATCATCTTGTCGAGATCGCCAGGCCAAGCAGGCTCCAGAGCCACACGCACAATGGGCTTGCCTGCCATATTGACACCAGCCAGGTTCACTGAGCCTTCTAGCTGACTGCATAGTGTGCCGGACTTGAGAATGTGTCCTTCAAGACCGCCGATGCCAAAAACTACACCAGCTGGCACCGAGTCCAAAGACTCTAAATTGCGGCCCATCAACATGTACAGTGCTGTGACTGTAACCTTTTTCGGTTCGGGAGATGCGTGTGGATTTGCGGGAGTGAATTTTGGTGGCAATACATAAAGCTCATCGCCCACAGAGAGGGTACCAGAATACATTCTTGCGAATCCGATCAAGTGCTCTGGGTCAATCTCTTTTTCCTCTGGCTCTTTGACAATATCGTCAAGAGACACATCCGCTAGGGCTTGTGTCAGGTCGTTTGCATCATTCGCTTCGGCTTGTTGTGCCCTTGCTAATTCTGCACGCTTCTTCCTTGCGAGCTCACGTGCTTCTTCAGGGCTGAGTTGGCCTGCTTTCCGCTTGTTCTGTGGCAACTCGCTCTCTGGTATCGATACCATCTTACTGACGTAAGCCACGACGGGGTCCGACTTCGCCGTCTTGAATTGAATCATTGCCTCCTTGATGTTACTGTCGATGTGACTTGACCCAGGCGAGTCCTCAAGGAGCTCTGGGAGGCGCTCAGCTTGTGCCACTCTGGGTGAAGGCAAGGATTCTATGACAGATACCAACAAAGCTGTTGATAGTGGTAGCCAGGACGCAAATACAGCGTTCTGTAGTAAGCGGGGGTCCCTTGAGCGTGCGATATGGGGAGGCACGGTAATGTTGAGAGACTTTGTGATCTTCTCCAGCAGTGCTGGATCACTACAGCGCAGTCAGTGCATTTATCCTCGTTGGTGATGGAGGTGTAATTACCCTTTTCCATTGTCACCACCCGTGGTGGCGGCGTATACAGCCCAGACCTGCTCTAGCACGAGTTGAACGAACATGGGCTTGAGATTCCGACCTTTGAGATGCTTGCGACCGAGAACCTTCTTCGTCTTGGGATCTAAATAGAAATCACCCCACAAGACCTTTTCCATGATGTTTCTCTTGATCCCGAGCTTCTTCTCATACAAGCTGGCGAACTGGCGAACGGTAAAAGCCCAGCCGTCGATAGCGCTGCTGAAGATGACGTTATTCTTCTCCGGGGCAAAGTAGATCTCCTCGTCATCCCGCTCCTGGAATTGCAGCTCGTCGCTTTCTGTTACTTGACTAGCGAGCTCAGCCTCCTTGGCCGCGGCAGCGGCTACTCTTTGGTCCATCTGCTCGCGCCAGTTGAGATCCTCCTCCATGCGCTCTCCTTGGAAGAAACTTCCCAAGACTGCATTCACCTGCTCCAGAAGTTTGCTCAGGTGTATGTATGCCTCGCCCGGCGTCATCTTTAATTCCGTCACCAGTCGGTCCATCTTGTTGATCACCAATAGAGGCTTAAGCTTTTCTTCCCAGCTTTGACGGAGCACCGTGACGGTCTGACTGCATACACCCTCAACTGCATCGACCAGGACGATAGCACCGTCACACAATCTGGACGCCGTAGAGACCTCACTGCTGAAGTCAATGTGGCCAGGTGAATCTATTAGGTTAATGAGGTACTCCTTGGGTACTGGCGCAGCGTCTGGCGCGGATCTCCTGAGCATGGAAAAGTAAAGCGAAATGGCCGAGGATTCCATGGTGATACCTCTCAGTTGTTCATCCGGTCTTGAATCCAAGTACCGAATCTTGCCGGCCATTTTGGGTGAGATGATGCCATTTGTGGCAATCAATGCATCGGTCAGTGATGTTTTACCATGATCAACGTGAGCCAGAATACAGATCTGAGAAGATGTCAGTCTCAGCAAGAAGACGAGAAGTGATTGGGTTTTGTTTTACGTTGCGAACATCGTCCGACTTGGACTGAAGCCCTACGAGCTTCTCTGGGCTGACAACAGGCATTATGAAGATGTCTGCAGGCTCGTGACCTAGCGAGGGTTTGGTGATTACAATTCACCGCGCGGGTTTCCTCAGTTGGTTGCAAACAGGCCCAACTAGATCAGACACCTCGAGGCGCCAGCAAATTGACGATGGCAAGTTTTTCCCTAAGAAACCTCGAGGGAAAGAATGACGATGCAGCACCTTACAAGGAGCAATGAAATGGCGAGGAAGGCTGCAGCTTCAAGTACTTCTTGAGATCATAAAAATAATATAGTATCTGAAAGGGTCTGTCGATTGCCTCGACTACTACAAATCTCGTCTGTCCGGTGACTAATACAGAACGCCTCCTTCTAGCTATGGCAACTTTTCCAAACCCGCAGTTGGGCACTTTGGGTGACGTTTGCCCCACCAAGAGAGCTACTTCAGGTGGTTCCTTACACTATGGCTCAGAGTGATGCACCACTACATGATCACCATGAAACAGTATTGCTATACTGGATATCTTGGATGAGACAGCATTCATTGCACAACAGTGGGAGTTTCTGTACATTTGACCAACTCAAGAGCTTAATTGTGCATCATCTGCGTGATTAGAAACCTCGCCAATCCATGGACAATTGCTGCATCGTCGTGAGTCCTCGGTAACGAGTGACGTGAGTTGCCAACGATAGAGGCAGATAACAAAAAAAAAAAAAAAGAGACGTCAAGCTAAACGCGGGGCAATCACCCCGCTCCAAGCGTCAAGCGCGCCCAGGTTCTCAACCCATGGCGGAAGCGTCGCGCTCTTCGGGGGCATTCATTTACTGAGGGGCCACAAAACCCTAACTTTTAAGTCCGCCAAAACTTCGGCTGACTCAGTCGTTCCCGCTGTGCCTGCGCCCAGCCGCAAATTTCAGTATTGTCGTGAGAGCGCCCGCAGCCCCTCGCGAAAAATATCGACAGCGGGGCCCGTGGAAGCAACCCGACGAACCGTCTACCGCTCAAACCCATCACGAAAATCCGAACCCGCCACCATGAGCGCCTTCCAGAACGGCGAGCGGCCCATCCGCTCCATGGAGGACGACAGCGACGTTGAGGAGGAAGCCCTGGTCAACGACTACAAGGAGCAGGTCCAGTACGAGGATGGCATGGGCGAGGAGCTGGAGCGCGTCAGCTCCCTAACCATGGCCCAGCAGGCCGATGATATTCAGTCGAGACTCGTCGCCGCTGCCCAGCCTTTGGACTTCTCTGCCCCTCTCGAGGTCAAGTTCCAGAGCTACGACTCCTACTGCAACCTCTTCCACTTCATTTTGAACTCTGAGGGTCCCGTCGACCTGGAGCCCCCGTCCGTGAGTGGCCCGCGCGCGCATTGACCGCTCTACTCTTGAATTAGAAAGAAAAAAACACAATATACTGATACCTTGATGTGATATATTAGTACTACTGGGCTTGGGATGTTATCGATGAGTTTATCTACCAGTTCAACTCGTTCTCGTCGTACAGAATGAGATTGGCTCGCCAGCCGCGAGACAATGAAGAGGAGCGCCAGATTCTCAAGGAGAACCCCAACACCTGGGGATGCTACAGTGTCTTGAACGTGCTCTACTCTCTGATCCAGCGATCGCAGATTGTCGAGCAGTTGGCTGCCATGAAGCGCAACGAGGACCCCAAGGCCGTCGCTGGAGAGTACGGTGACAAGAACCTTTATAAGATGCTGGGATACTTCTCCATCATCGGTCTCCTACGCGTCCACTGTCTTCTGGGAGACTTCAGCCTGGCCCTCAAGACTCTTGACGACATTGAGTTGAACAAGAAGGCCATGTTTGCACGCGTCATGGCTGCACACTTCACAACCTACTACTACGTGGGTTTCTCCTACATGATGATGCACCGTTACGCCGATGCCATCCGCATGTTCAGCCACATTCTCGTCTACGTCTCGAGAACCAAGAATTTCCAGAAGAACGCCCAGTACGACTCGATCACCAAGAAGAACGACCAGATGTACGCACTGATTGCCATCTGTGTTGCGTTCCACCCTACTCGTCTGGACGACACCATCCACACTGCTCTCCGTGAGAAGTATGGTGACCAGCTTCTCAAGCTGCAGCGCGGTGGCCCCGAATCGCTCCCCATCTTTGAGGAGCTGTTCAGGACTGCCTGCCCCAAGTTCATCTCCCCCGTTCCCCCGGATTTCGAGAACCCCGAGGCCAACGTCGACCCCGTTGAGCACCACCTGTCCATCTTCATGGACGAGGTCAAGACCAACATGTGGAACCCGACCGTTCGCTCCTACCTCCGCCTGTACACGACTATGGACCTGAAGAAGCTTGCAGGCTTCCTCGAGGTCGAGCCCGAGGAGCTTCGTTCGTACCTGTTGGTCAACAAGCAGCGAACCAAGCAGCTGCGCTGGGCAGACCAGGGTCTTCTGGATGGTGAATGGGTCAATGTTAGCGATCTCGACTATGCCCTGCAAGGAGTACGTGACCATTTTCTTTTCCCTCCCTTTTTTCCATGTCCCCAAGCTTTCCTTGTATTACGGTCAAGCTTTTTCTTGTGTCAAGCAATACTAACGGCAAACTGCAGGACCTGATTCACATTTCTGAGGCCAAGGTGGGACGCAAGTTGGTGGATTGGTACCTGCGAAACCTGTCGAGGACGTACAACTGAATTAGTTGACCAGCGAGCGTCGATTCATGATCAGATCAGGCTTTCGGAGCCGATTTCTGCCGGACTGGGGAGGCGGCCAAAGAGCAAGGGATGTTTACTGCAATCTGATGTACTCGACACAGATGGGCACGGCAGCAAAGGGGTATCTCTTTTTCTCTGTTTGCATTGCAAAGGCGTCAAGGGAAATTGAAAGGGCTGGACGATGGAGGAATGATCCAGCAAAAAACTATTGACCGCAAAAAGATCACGTCAGGGTCATTCATGTCATTGTCATGGTCATGGTCATAACGAGAAATAGATTCTACGAATACAGTAGAGAGATGATAATCAGAAACACTTCGATCAAATACCATCATAGCTATACACCTGGAACGGTGGTTTCTCTCCGTCCCATGGAACACCACGTTGGTGATAGAACATATGACGAACAACATTGTCCCAGAGTGACGCATTATCAAAGCCAGTGGTACGACTAAGACGGGAGTCGTGGCATGATGATTCGGCCTTTCTTGAAGGATAACGTCTCGTGTCCATATTTGTGTTATTGCAAGGGTCGACGGTACCTCTAGTTGCTTGTAGGTGTGCATCTATACCGAGATTGATCTTGGCCTGCCGTCAATATTCGAACTTTCGCCAACCTCATACTGCTTGATCAGCTCAATTTGTAGCTAGAACGTGTAGGCTGTCGAATGTCAAAATCGGCCGCATCTGGTAAGAAGGATATGTTTCCTGATGCTACAGCCAAGATTTAGATCCCGCCTTGTTGCATACCATTATTCGGTGGGCCAAGTATGCTACAATTGGTATCCCGTAGGCGGAGAACGGCTGTCGCAAAGGCGCCACGCGCTCGACTCTTTCGCCAATTCCTTGGTCTTAGTTGACTGTGCAGTCTCTCATACCTACCCAAGGGGCTTCCATGAATGGACAAGGCATAGGAGCAGCCTCCACAGACTGCCGATGCGGCCGACGAATGCCAAGTCCCCATCATGCATGCACACAGAGTCAAAATTCGTACGTGAAAGGGGATATACGTAGCCACGTCTCGTGCAGATACTCTGCAAGTATACCGAGGAAGGATACAGTCCCGGGGAGGCCTCCAGAGCTTCTCAGGTGTCATAACATGAGAGAGAGAGGAGAGAGAGAGAGAGGAAGGGGGGGGGAGAGGGTCAGCAGTCGCAACAACACGATCATACATTCAGTAGTCAGGATCCAATCGCTGTAGACTTGAATTGAAAGCCCGGTGAGGGTGATTGCAAAGAGCAGAACAGATAGATGTTGAGATACGACCCGAGTTAGCCGGCAACAGGACAACTCGGTAACGGTTACGGCTCGCGATTGCCGGGCCATTACGGTCGTTAATAACTAAGCTCCATGCTTGTGCGTTTTTGTCATACCATTTCAAGAGCCGAAGTGCAGCATATGGACGCCACTTGGCGTGGGAAGTCCTGGCCAGCACGGAACTCGGAACTGACCCTGAATGATTATAGACGGGACACTATACTATTCCAAGGATGATAGTCATTCAAATCATCTTTGTATCTTGGTTGTTCTGCACGGGTTGTGACCAACATAAATGTAATATAGAAAAAGGCGGCCAGAAGTCGTCCGCACCTTGGCGTGTGGTCCATTTCCACTACAGACTGCCTACCGACTAAAACGTAAGTGGGTGGAGGGCGCGGCTCTACCCGCGAAAAGCCCGTGTCGTCATATCCTTGAAGCCAGGCAACCAGGGAGGCGCCGTCGGCCATTAGGTATGGATTAGTGCCTTTAGAGTGAGTCGCGTGGTTCTGTTCTAATAAATGCTTGTTGAATAGGGAGGCATGTACTTGGTAACGTCAAACGTCTTTTTTCTGTTTGTGCAGGTGGCTTGGCTTAGCTGTCCCAGCCTACGGCACTGGGGATATCACATTAGGGCATGAACTCAACGCTCGGGTGCCACGAGAGAAAGTGAGAGAGAAAAGGCTTGATCGCATCTTACAGTGTCCACACAAGCTGCCTGCCAGTCTGCCTATCTGTCACGCAGGAAACTTCCCAACTCACCGTGCTTGCTGGACAAGCTCCCCCAAGGATGCAGTTCAATGACTTGGCCACGTCCCGCCAAGCTCGCCAAGGAGCCCCAAAACTGCGTATCCCCGAGGGTGTCTGCTCATGTGTTGCTGATGGTGTTGGAAACTTGGCTGCATTTGCTCTCCCCCAGGTTTTGACTATCTCTTGGGTGTTTGTTTGGTGAGCTTGGCACCTGGATTTCTAATCTGATTCGCCTCTGTGATAATTTCCGGCATGGCCAGAGCAATGACATTATCTCATGGGCGTACAGTTGCCTCCGACGGTGGTTTATATGGTAAAGCGGCGCAAAAAAAAAAAAAAAAAAAAAAGGAGTAGGTAATCATAACATGGTTGGGCTGAAATAATCGAAGCCGTGTTCCCCATACCCAACTACATTACGAATAGTACACGGGTACCTGGACAGCACAACAGTCTAATGGGGGTTTGTGGCCATGGAATCCGTTGATGGTGCGCGACAAGATACATACAGCATCTCAAGTTCACGTCGTCGTAGGCCAGAGCCTAGATCTGACATGGGTGATGATGGGCGATTTCCATTTGAGCGATTCGTGGCGTATTGATAGATGCGGTGAAAAAGAACCAAGACAAACTCAAGGGGGAAAGCGACTTGAATGAGAAAGAAGGAAAAGGGAAAGAAAAGTACCTAGAGTACGGCAATGTACCTGGTAAATGCTCATAGGTCCAGTCTGAAGCTTGGCTTGGGCAGCCCCATCCCAGCTCGAGCGCGCCAGCTTCTACTAGCTTCTTGGCTGGTTTCTGACTTCCCTTTGACAATCCAGACCAGAGCATCCATCCTATTAATCCCCATTGAAATGCCATTCCCCGGATGCCCACCCGAAAAGAGAGTTCTTTCTTCAAGATGTGAACCCTTTTTTTCGATTCCCCCCCTTCACTCCGCCCTTCCCATCTACCGTTTCTTCTACAATTACCTGACTTTCTTACAAGTCGGTTAGAAGATACTGAGCCCATATTTGGCCGTGCCGTCCCCCAAAATCGCAACATCTCGAATAACTGTGCTACGGACCTTGCGCCCGTCCTGATTTATCTGTGACTCGAAGCTTGTCTCGCGACAAGGTACTTAAGGTTTACTTTTACTGCCAGCTGCCACAGTACATCAAAGACATTATCTTGAGCCTCTTGGGACGCAACAAACACCTGTTACATCATTTCATACTCCCGGCTTGCGAAGAAGAGACTGTGTACTTGAGACGTTCCATCCTTAACAGTAGATACATCGAAATATATCTTCGTCATCGCATCGCATCCCAATCGCCCCATCAAGCAAAGCCTTCTCCTCCAGGCTGCAGATTCGTGCGACTTGTTCAGAACGTGGCCAACTCGACGCATCTGACTGGATCGCCCGTTTTTTCAATAAGACAAGAGAACGTCACATTTGCTCTTCCGCCGCGATTTGAGACACACACACACACACACACACACACACACACACACATCTGTCGGCATCTTGCAGAATCTGGAGTTTCTTGTCACCAGTTTGAACAGCATTAACAGGCAGAAATTCGACAATCCAACGCTTGCAAAGCCAAGACGACACCCACATAAATTTTTGGTACTTACGCAACTGCCCCTCCGCCGACCGTTACCCTACCTCATATTTTTTTGAACCTTAAAACGATCAACTGCATCAGACTCTCCGTACCTGGACGACGCATCGAACGACGAACGCCAGATATTTCTGCATTCGCGCCCCAAGCCAGCGAACCTCATCTGCCGTCTCGGTCGGCAGCTTCTGGCTCGATTGCGAGCTCCTCGATATCTATCCCTACCAGATGTTGGACATTACGAAACTGCCTCCTCCGCCCTCTCCCTGAGGCAACGTGAGTCAGGTATCGAGCATTCGTGTCATTGTTTACTTTTTTATCGCGGAAACCGAACAAGAAAAATACCACTTTTATTTCTAAACAACACAAATCTCGGCAATCATGGCTGCAAGCAAGGCATCTCTGCCGGGAACGCCCGACAGCTCTGTCTCGCCAAGATCCCAGGCCTCGCCGAAGCAGGAAGGATATTTTCCCGCAGGCCAGAAGCAGGCGACTTCCACTGGCCGTGACGGGCCAAAGCTGCCCTTGCGTACAACACACGGCGCCAGAATTGTCCCCGTCACTGCGGGCGAGAAGTTCCCGGACCTCTTGGACAGGGCTAAGGACTATGAACCTGCAAACGATAGCGACGCGAGCGCGACGACGCCCGGTGATACTGCTCCTAGCCCGGGCAGTATCAGCGAGCCGCCGTCCAGGAAGGCGTCAATCTCCTCCATCTCGTTCCGCCAGCCTTCTAATCCATTGCTGCCGCAAGGTGTTAAGAAGAAGCCTCTGGATGCTAGCAGACGAAGGGCTGCATCTCCTCCACATCGCAGGTGAGTTGCAAAGCAAAGTTCCGTTGGTTTTTTTTTTCTTCTTCCTTTAATGTCACTCTTTGAAGGGAGCAACCCCATGCTACCGTTCATACTTCCCCAACTACGTCACTCAATGGTTCTACAGCCCACGATCTTCAAGCTGTCTTACACAGCGCACACAGAAGTCACCGTGAGGCTCCGTCTTCCCCCCCTCCCTCCTTATACGATCCTCAAGCGAGGTTGGCTGCATTGGACCATGGTCGCGTGGCATGATACGAACAAGATCAGTTGCAACCTACCCCAGAGATGCATCGCGGGCCGCTGCGGCCTCGAGTCTGAGAACAGGAAAGCCCGCCAGGTTATTCTGGGGCCCTCATGTCGTTCCAAGCTGTTCTGGGGGGCAGATCGCGTGAGGGGCTATCACATGCTCTGTCTAATTCGCTCCAGCGCCCAATTTTTTTTTTCTTTCTCCCTCCCTCCCTCCCAGCAGGCAGGGTCCTGGTGTGTGAGTGGATCGTAACGCTTGCTTGAGCCGCCGACTTTCACATCATGTCTGTATTTGCACAACATAGGGAAAGTGTCCCGCCAGCCGCCAGTGAACCCAATACAGACGAGCCCGCTGACCATCCTCGTCCTTTGCCGTGGAGGGTTCAGTGTCGGCGTTAAGTCTTTGCCAAGCTGGGTTACCTCCCTTCCCGATATACTACCTGTACCTATGAACCCTCCTAACCTAGGTACGAGCGCAATTACAACGCACGTGTAGTGATAGTAGCTATCGCTCAGTTCACCAAAAGCATTTCCCCGCCGTCCTAGCCAAAACCCCACCCCAACTGAGTCAGAGCCGTCAAAGAGGCCCGAGGGGTCTTCCTTACGCTGCCTACCCACCTGGAAGACAGTAGCTCCATCTTGGCCCATGGCGCAGCTGGGCAGGGAGTTGGAGAAACGGGGATCATTATCCCTTCATTGTCGTCATGCGATTTTGACTTCATCTCATTCCTCACCTCCAATATCGCGCAACCGTCTCTTTTCCCTGACACCAGTCGTGTTCTATTGCTATCGCTTCATTATCTCTATATTTTATACCCCTCATTGAGCTTGCGCAACCCGCCTTGACTCTCAGCCACATCGACCAAGCCGCCGCCCAGTTTTGATTCATGGCTACAGAAACGCTGACCCGGTCCCGTGAGCAACACAGGTTTCAGTCGCATGTCGCATTCGACAATATCCCTCTGGGCGAATCAACCGACTACAACCCGATTGCGTTTACACTGAATGCCAAGCACGATGGATATCAATCTAGTAGAAGGAGTCGCACATTCATGGTGGGAGTCGACGACAATACCTACTCGGATCATGCGTTACAATGGCTCCTAGACGAGTTGGTGGACGATGGTGATGAGGTCGTGTGTGTGCGGGTGATTGAAACCGCGATGCGACTGACAAACACCGCATACCAGGAGGCTGCGCAAAAGTTGATGGCCGGCGTTCAAGCAAAGAACAAGAAGAACCTGGCTATATCACTGGTGTTGGAATACGCTGTGGGTAAACTACACAATACCTTCCAGCATTTGGTAAGCGAGCCACTTGGCAATTTCTATTCTGAGATGGTAAAGCAATAATGAGAATCGCTAACACTTCCAATCACAGATCAAGATCTACCAGCCATCGATGCTTATAGTCGGCACAAAAGGGCGCAGTCTTGACAGCGTCTCGAATGCTTTCTTCAACAGGAGCTCATTCTCCAAGTACTGCCTTCAGTACTCGCCAGTGCCCGTTGTTGTCGTGCGTCCTACTGAGAAGCGCGAGAAGAAGCGGCTTAAGCGCGCCCAAGATCCTGCTCGCCAGAGTTATCTGCAGATGCTCCCTGGTCAGAAGCACGAAGCCGATAGCGAGAACAGTAGTATCTATGAGCTGGAACCCAACCTCAGTGCCGCCGAAGAAGCCCACCGGGTAGCTGTGGCCAATGGCCTTCCAGCTAAATACGACCCGACTCTCAAACCTCTAGATACAGATGCAATCCTTCGTCATGCAAGCCGATCCCGCCGCTCGCTTGCGATGGAGCCTCCGACTGCAGAGGCCGTGGCATTGGCAGAGAGCGGTAGGTTGCCCGCAGAGCCGGACATGAATGGTGATGATACGGAATCCGACGAGGACGACGACGAGTTTGAAGTTACGACGGGCGAGCAGGCGCTGAAGAAGGAGCGTCTGCACAAGATGGAGTCCAATGAAGGAGCCGTACTTAAGGAGATGATTCAACGAAAGCCAAGCGATGAGTCGATCGAGGAGGAGTCTGATGAGGGTGATGGTGGTGCCAAGACAGCCACACAATAACACAAAGCTTCGCCGCGATGCGAGCCGAGGCTATGAGGCACAGTCACAATAGCTGACCGTCCTCGCGCGTATACACATTCCTGTGGCATTCTGTTTGGCCAGGTTTCAAGCTCTCGAAACGTCGTCATCGTTCGACATCATTAGCGGGTTGGGGACCATTGCAGACAAGCGAATTCTTTTGTTTTTCGGTATTGATGATACAAGGTCTGGCGTCTATCAGTGGAGTTGGTCGTCTGTACTTGACTTGATTTCGAGGCATGCAAGTCTCTACTCTATCACAAGCTACAAATAAACATGCGAGGTAATCCCTCAGTGTAATCATGAGAACCAACCTCGAGTCTTGACTCGATTTCCACTAATGCAGAGTCATAATCATATAGGCTTTATAGTACCTATATGCCGCTCAGCTTTCATGTGCTTGACACGAATCTTCTGCCCTTGATTTGTGCACATGTTCACGACAATCTGTAGATGGTGTCTTGCTTGCCAGCGATAAATAGAGGCTGAAATTGGGTAACGGCCTTGCAACTATCATTATCATATCTCTGCGGTAGAGAGCTTGGGGCTATGTTCATATATCTCCCTTGATACTCGCTTTGCCATGACTAGGCGAGATCAGTACTGCAACAATGATATTGCTCCAGGGTGGGTAAGTATCAAGCACAAAAGGCCTTCCAGGCAACCTTGTCCCGCATGACTTGGGTACTCAGGGCTTATTCTCGCGTTGTCGTTCTTTGGAGCTGGGCTACAGCAGCCACCACAATCGCTAGCAGGCCATCGGCGGTGCGCCGCAAACTTGTCGGATCTGATTCTCCGGGCACATGGCAGAACAAGACGTTGGGCTTTAGGTTCAGCACGTAGCGGTTCGCCAGGCTCTCGTAGTTGATGAAGCCGCACAAATAAGGCCCGCCCTCAGCATGGGGCCGGATCTCAATGGGCTTGTTTGTCGTTGATACGGTTTTGCCATTGTCCATTCCCTGCACGTGGGAGGAGGAGGAAGAAAACGTGTCCGATGCGTTCCCAGCATCAACATTACCGGGCCTGCTGCTGCTGCTGCCGCCGCTGCCGAAACGGTACAGGGTGTCCAAGAGGGCCGTGGCCCCCTCGCACACGCCGTCGACGTTGAAGGACGGGTGCAGGCCCAGCGGGACGCGGCCGGCCCACGGGCTGGGCCCGACGTCGCGAATCGTCTGGCCGGCGTCGTCGGGAATCGTGTAGTAGGCGTCCCGGTCCCACAGCGCCCACCAGCTGCTGCTCATGCCCTGGCCGTACGCGGCGCGCTCGACCGTGACCCAGGTCCACCCCCGCGCCTCGCCGAGGTGGATGAAGAGGTCCACGTCGTCGTCGGCGGCGGCGTGGCGGGCGTGCAGGTCCCGGCAAAAGGCGCGCACGTGGCCGTACTCGGTCTTGACGGGCTCGGGCAGCGTGGTGATGTGGATGCGCGCCGCCGAAGGGTTCCGTGGCGTGTTGGGTTCTAGAGTCTTGGGCAGCACGGTTGTTACCACATGGGATGTGTTGGGGTTGATTCTACCACCGCGACCATCTGGGTAGGGCTGTTGTTTATCAGCGAAAGCTTGAGCATTCCATCCGTCATGATATACGAATTGCATGGGGATGGTTTAGTGTAGTCAACGACTCACGCCCATGCCGGTGATAAGGACATTGATGTCTCTGGTTTTGGTCATATTGCCAACTTCTCTCTCTTCTTCGTCTCTGTTTATTCAGGATCGTACGGAGTGGTGTTGTATACAATAGTTCTAGTTTTGGTTCCTGCTTGCGGCAACATTAAATCACAAGATGGAGTTGTGCCTAAGATCATATGTCTATGATGGTACAAATCGACCTAGCTGTGCCGCAGGAGATGCTGATGTATTTGCCACCCGCTACCAAACCGTCAGATCCTGCCGTTTCCGGGTCGTTTGACGAGCCAATGTTGCTCCTCGACTATCTGCATGAAGAGCACTCTGATGGCTGCAGGAAACTTGCCTTAAGTGTGGCCATGTTGCTGCCTATTTAGCTAGAGCAGTATAGGCAGTACACTTTGACAACACAGAAGGTGCGCATCGTCTGAGCAATGCTATCTCGATGATATACTCGGCAAGGCTGGGCCAAATCGTATACATATCAAGCTCCTTACACAGGGCTTAGAACCAAGACCCTGCGAGATATTTAGGCACAAGCCAGGCCATGCAAAAAAGCAAGTCTGTGTGCAGTTCGTGAACTGCAATAATGGGTACATTGTTTTTATATCCTTTCTTGAGAAACTTCTTGCTATGTTGACTGCGCCGGTCGACTATGGGCGCTTTGGGCGATCTTCTCCCGGATCCAATCAGGCACAAAGGGTTGAATCTTTAACTGCTGGCCACCCTCTGTTTCCCACTTGAGTATAAACTCATTGCTCGGGTCATATGGTGAAGGCGACTCGGCACTCTCCCCTGGCAGTTCAATATCCGTCATGGGCTGCAGTCGGCACATGGCCAGCCCAATGTTCCCAATGCCATTGATCCAGTGGCCTGTTGACCTCTTTTTCGTGGTGCTCACGGGTGCAATGTCCGTCTTGGACGGCACGCTCTCTGCTCCGAGTCGGCCCGGTGCTGTAGGTTTGTACTCGAGCTCCTCCGGCCTGGATTCGCCGTCTCCATACACCACACACGGCAGTATCCGCTTTCTTACCACTCCTCGGTGCTTGGTCCGGATCGTAAGCTCCTGTCCCACGTAGCATCCCTTTCTGAAGTCGACGCCGCCCATAAGGTCGATATTGGCATCGAGAGGAAGGGTCTTGTCGGGTATAATTTCTCCGGGCCCTTCGGCCACGCCGCGCAGAAAGCGCCGCACCGTGTACGTCTTGCGCGGGCACTGCTCCGCGTCTACTTGGAGCTCGCTCTTCCCACTTGTAATAACGCGCCAGCCAAGGTCAGGCGCCCTCGAATCGTGCGTAATGTACGCCTCGGCAGCATTCCTGGACAGGTCGTCCGGCATGCCGCTGCCTTTGTCCTCAGTCGAGAATGGTTCGTTCCAGTACGAGTAGACCGATGCTTCATCGAGCTCGACCTTTCGATGCACAAACGAGCTCCGGAGTTTATACCGCCTGATGAGCGCAAATAGCGCGTCCACCTGGCTCCTTGACACCTCGACTAGAAACGAGTGGTTCGGGGCCAGGCCCTTGCTCTTGACGGCGTCGCTGAGGCCATGGAATTGCGGGTTCGGGTGGATAAAGACGTCGTGCAGGACTCTACCCTGAGCCGTCAGGAAGGCTGTATAGAAACCCTCATCCCGGGGCTCGTCGGGCCGCGCGGCGGGCTGCTTGTAAATCGAGGCCGTCACCAGACCCTGGAGGAACTTGGGCGCGTCGACGCCGGCAATGGCAATCAGGCTGCGGTTGGGGAGAGGCGCGAACCCGATCGCGGGCGGCGGGTCTGGATGCTGCTGATGCCCTTGGGGCTGTGAGGTCTGCGTAGCTATAAATCGTCGTCGAGGAGTTTCTTCTGCTGCTGCTGCTGCTCTAAAGCTAGATTTGCCGACCAACGAAGGTCTTGCGCGCCGCGAGACCGCCAGCTGCAGCGGGCGTGCTGCGGCCGAGACTGACTTCATGCTACCAAGCAGCACCTATTCATCTGAGGTTCATATCAAGATTCAGGTACAGCAGCCCCGTCTCGGGTGGCAGATGCAATTGTGCGTTGAAGCTGGAGCTGGAGCTGGAGCTGGAGCTACCTACATTACCAACTACTGATTACTCACAAAGCTCCGTCCGTTGGCCCCAAAAACTTCGGGTCCCCTCGGTCGGCACTGTCGGGGCGTTAGTGGGGTCCGTTCTTTCCATTTCTAGTGCCACGGGTTTTAGAACGACGCCGGACATAGGCAAGTTCAACGTCTCTGTCTATATTGGCACTATACTCGATGGAGCCGCTGTTGTATCATCTTACTTTAAATAGTTTCTCTTATGCCTATCGGTGCTGTGAAGTCTACATGAAGTGCTAGACAGAATCTAAAAGAAAAATAAACTGAAACAAGCAGTAAAAACAGTGATACGAATAATGACAGCCACATCTAACACGCAAATATTGTGTTTACCTCATAATTTATACTAATGTATATCTGTATCGTGTGCTAATCATGGATCTATATGGTCCCACCATTTGTAATTTACTGAATATTTAAGCAACATCCTTCCTGGGCACGCGGCTGAATAGAAAGTTGCACTTTAAGATCGATAACTGGGAAAGGAGACTGGTACGTCGAGCGGAAACTTACGACGAGCCATGTAAATATAAATCATTTGCCTTGGTGCACAGATGATCTCTAGGCCCTGACAAGCGATTGTCCGAACTTAGAAAAGTAAGTAGTCGTGAGTAAATATGACTTTCAAGACCATTTGAGCAAAGGTAGCTCATGAGAGCTGCAATATGACTTGAGGTTGCAATACCTTGATATGTTACATAATTTTTTAGAAACCGTCAGTTGTATAGCTGTATTCCATGTTACCGTCAGGAGGTAAATCTTGAGCGTCTAGACAATTAGGGTTTGAGGTGTTTGCTATACCTCTGTTCTCATATATCACCAAGATTAGAGTAGGAGGTGTTATTAAATCATGCATGTAGCCTATAATCTTACAAAAACTCAGTCTTGACTTGTCACAGATAAAGTACAAGCATTATTCACTCAATAAAGCAAAGCAAATTCCCCTCATCCTTTCTCATTAACTAACAAGTATAGGTGGTGGATGAGTCAAGCGAATCACCATGATCGACGTCAACCACTCAGCCGTCCAAATCCATTATCAGACCAATCTAGTCTAGCCTCTCTAGCCCTACTAAACACAGCTTGAAGTATAGTATTTTATGTATAATGGTATGAAAGGTGTGACAGGTAACAAGACGGGAACCGTGCGTTACAGATTTCCTGGGGACGTACTCCAGATAGAGACCCTCTCGGACATTAAACCATCAACTAGTGTTCATTATGGGTTCAGGATGTATATGATATGCAAGTGTTCTTCTTCATGGTAAAGGTGATCCCTGTCGATAACTTGTGGCATCGAAATTTTCTCTTCGCCATGGAGGACTGCCACGAGGGAACCTGATGACGGCAGGGATGAGTCCTGTGAGTCAAAGGCTTGAGTCGACATGGTAGAAGGAAAGATGAAACAAGGGCGAGGAGCCCAAGAACGACGTGCAGCAAACATGGACGAAACCCAACGGGTGGTAACGGCACAAAGGTGCTCGCTGCGTCCTGGTCACCAGTCAATGGTAGCAATACAGTATCTACAGTGATATCGAGTTGGGCCGAGTTGCGTCAAACAGAAAACAGCGCGGATAATTGTCCTATCAGCTCTCGCTTGCTGTGCTTGGGGGAAAAGGGCTTGCATTTGCCAGTTGTCCATCGTCTTGCACTAGACTTGCAGACATCAACCCCATGCCTCCTCCCTCTTGTGAACATCTTTAAATTTTTTTATTCCGTGCATATTCGAGGTGGATTCCCCAGATAGATCGGAGCACGTCCGTTCTCAAATCTCAACAGGTGTGGGACACACAAGGCGCGTGCCCGTCCTCTGCATGGTCTATACGCACAATCTTTTATGCCAGTGCTACGTCATTACAAAACGAGACCATTGTCGATGAGAGGGTCCTTCAACACGTATCAAGTGGACATGTTATCGTTCAGATGAACTGCTATACACGTATATCAGTGGGTGTTTGTACACACGGACGGACGGACGGACCCAATGCCGCGCGGCAGAAGGGCATATCGATCGTCTGTCCAAGTTCGGGAAGAGCCGACCAGCCGCTTTCTCCAAGTCTGGGGGTGAAGGGATAGAGATAGGAAACTAAACCGATCGGCGAGGTGAAGGCCAGCTAAGCTATGGATCAGCCGTGTGTGAGGCTAAACGGTAAAGCAGATAAATATCTCCGTAACAGTAGATATGGAGTAGTATAACCGCGTTGCAGAGCTAGGGGTGATTGGGTAGACATACTTGAGGCTTGAGCTGCATGCAAGTACACCGCCGACACACCGATGGTGCTCCTGGAAGACACCAATAAGAGCAGGTGTCAAGGGTTTGCTCCCCCGGTCGTGCTGTATAGGAAAACGGAGACCAGGAGCAGAGGGCCAGTCATGTGGACATGAACAGGCGGAGAGGTGTAACAGAAGGATGAGTATACTCCATCTTCGTGCCTATAGCGCAGAATCTTTCTTGCTAGGAAAATAAAAAAGAGAGTGCGGTCAGTGCCAGCGCGGCCTTTTTTTGCTCCACCGAACCACATCACCAAATATCGCGTCAAAATACTACACCAGCTGGATCTACCCGCAACTTACGGGGTAGCTGTCGATCCACTGGGGATCCGCACTTGGGCTTGATGGCACCCAGATTTTTCCTCTTTTGAGCATCTCTACCCCGGTCACCGCTTCAGCGAGTCAAGTTCGCGTCCAAACAACGCATAGTTACATGCAGTCGAAGGAATTTTTCTGTAGAGAGGAGCTTCTTTTGCATGAACAACAACATTCGTGCTAACTACTATTTACTTTTTCGCCGGGGTAATAATGGAGGAAATTGCTAACCTCCTCAAAAGACGAGTTTTTTGTTTTCCCCCATGAAGCGGTGACCCCAAAAGAGGCCTTTTCTTGTTACCTACCCTCTGTTTCGAATGTGTTGAGCTGACCACCACATCAGAGGAAAGCTCTCTCTCTCTCTCTCTCTCTCCTCCCCCCCAAAAAACAACGTGGCAGCGTTGCAGGAAAAAGACTCCGCACGCACAAACCTGCCAACGCTCACCAGCATATCATATATCCGCTCTGTAACAGTAGTGTCACTGTCTTGTCTGTATCCCGCGTCTGTTGGCCGGATTAGGATACTCCACTCAGTCAGCCTCTCTTTGATTTTCCTCACCTTTTCCTCTTCTCTCCGACCGGGGTGCTCAAAATCTTGGGGAAGAGTCGAGAGGAAAATCTTCTTCCACGATAAGGTGGGTCGATCTTGTTGAGGACGATGCGTATAATAAATGGCTTGACTTTTATACCCTGTAATAATAATACTGTAGTGTTTGGTACTATACGACGATGCATCGCAAAGACTCAGTGCCACGACCCATGTACCATGGGATGTGCACTGGGGCAATAATAGCAGATCAAATGTTCATCTTCCTTATTGATACGATAGGGTAGGGCTGGATTATGGCAGCTCCGCCTCAAAAGAGCGAGGCGACTCCTCCTCCGACATGCCACGGAATTACCCAGTCCCGTAATACGTACGATGTGCTGCTTTCTGCGACTGCGAGCGTCTGGGAGATTACATACTATTGCCAAGCCTCTCTCTGATGGGCGGCTCGTAAGCACAGCAAAAAGGCGGGATGGCATTGTTACATTCACATCAATCAAAGGTCGGACCCGATAGTCTGTGTCGCGATAAGCCGAAAGGACCAGGCATGGGGGTGTGTGTGTGGTGGTGGGAGGGTACATGGAATTGGTAGGGCAATTGGGGGCGGGTTCAATACGCATATCTCCTTGCTTGTGCTGACTGACCGCTTTGTGCCCTTGGCCTGCAGCTCAGGAACTTCAGCCACTCCCGCCAGGGGAAAAGTTAGCGAGAGTGCATGAAGAAAAGACAAATATTTGGTTTTGCATCATGTTTTCCGTTGCATGCTCATCTCATTCTCTGCGTACTCATTTCAAGCCATCAAAAGAAACAAGATGTATCAAGACTCCCAATATCTCCGGATTAGGCAACTTCGGCCGAAAAATATTGTCTTGGTCGTCTTTGACGGGACTAATGAGTTGAGTCGAGTCGAGCTGAGCGATACGATTAATAGGCGACCGGTTTCAGCCAGGCGTGAAGGGATTCGTTCGTCCGTATGCGAAAAGTAGCCGAAAATGTATATTATATAATTCGGAGACTTTTTGCATTTGATTTAATCGGCATGGACAAAGAAAGAAGAAATGGCCGTAGCTCTTCTCGGTATGCGGACCATAGAGAGCATCCTAGAGCTTGCCAGGGTTCAAGTCTCGTGCGATTGGTCAGCAAACGTGCGGGTCGACGGATATCCAAGCCTCTGGGTCACGGATCGCCTTGGGCGCCGTCTTTTTGACTCAGGCTGTGACACGGCATTTCCTTTGGGGTCGGGCGCGGGGGTGCCTGGTAGGTAATATTGTTCCTTTTCACCCATTTAATCTTACATCGGTACATGCACGCAACACGTACCAATCTACGTATACGGCGACCACGGCGAACACCAGGCAGGCAGGCATCGTATGTGTGTGTGTGTGTATGTGTTTGTATGTGGGATGGCAGCCAATTTTGTTGGAGTACATAGGAAACAGCCATAAAGTCCCCTGCAGGCACCTTCAAAAGAAGAAATAGTCTTTGTCCCGACCTGTTGGGACGCACAAGTCTGAAAAGCAAGTTTTAATCTTCATACTCAACGTCTTGGTAGAAAGCTGCATACGAGGGTCTGTACGAGATATGTGACGTGACGAGACAAGAATGGCCCAAGATTACCGTGCTTTTCCTTTCGCGTCGTTGGCTGTGTCGTGGCGGGAAGTTTGGTGACGACGTGTTTTTTTTGGTGTGGTGATGAGCAAAAGATGAGGTATAGCATATTAGGTCTCAGAGGATTGCCGATCGCTCAGGCAACCAAGGCAATGTCCACATGACAAATGTCAAGTGCTCGGTGCCGTACGCGGTCGGCAGTGTATCTGTCTCGCGACCGAAGGTGAAGGAGGCAGCAGCAGGATATGCATGTTGGTTGGCTGCGATTGGGGGTGTGTATGAGTGACTTGGAGCTCTGCTCTGCCTTGGAGCTGCGACCGAATGACTCTACCGGATGCACGCGCAATCGCACTCGCAAAGGCCCAATCCCACGCGTTTCGATTGCAATTGGGGGGTGTGTTGTAGTGGGTGGCATGGGTGATCTCGGGTTGCGACTAGGACCCCATGCTACGATCATTGGAGCTTTGGAATTGGGTACGGCAAGGTTTGGTAGGTACATGCTTACATTAGGTACAGAGCAGTATGTAGAGGCCTGGCTGGTGTCTTACAGGCGCAAATGAGCTTCTGCGCCTTTCTCTCTCTCTTTTACTCAGCAAAGGAGAGCTTGATAATTTGTCAGTCTGACGAGACAAGGATCGTATAGTCGTGATGGTCAATCGGGAATAAAAAATTTCAGACATGCGCGCCCTGTGGAATCATGGATACTATGATGGAGTAGGGAAAAAAAAAAAACTCTTTTCATGGATTACCTCGGTCGCGCTCCCGGACGGTTTGTCATCATCCCGAGAAATGGACGACACCAATATCAATTCCACAAATTTTTTTTTTCTTCTACGGAGTACTCGTGCCTTTTTCGTCGCAGCTCGCTTGGCGTGCTGGTTTGGTTGACCCTCGTGACCGGATTTTAAAAGTGCTAGACTCGGGCGGATGACCGAGCGCGATTCGAGCAAGCAGCGCCGGAAATTCGTTGTTGTCTTGTGTCCGATGTCGCATTGCTCACGACCGGGCTTTTTTGTTGCCGTAGTAGAGACTTACTTTGGAGATGGACTTCGATAAGCACTTGGCCGAGCGATAGAGTTTCGATAGAGGGGCCTCGAGCCGAGCTTGATCAATTGATTGATACGCGAACTGATTGATTGATCATGAATCAAGTTACCGAGGGTCTGGGATTGACAGCTCGGTGCCTTAGTAATGTTCCTTGACAAATGATGCAATGGCGTTCACGAATTTCTTGACACTGATGCGATGCATGAATAGATTTTTGTGCTTTGATCATAGTAATGTATTCATTGCTGGGTTTCTGACTAGTACTGTAATCCCAATGCAGCAAGATCCGAGAGGCCTATCTGTGAGTCCACTCAACCATCCAGCTTTGCAATGCCCCTCTGTGGAGGATTTGCAAAAAGCCATGGGAGCGAAACACGACCCCGCCTCGCCTTGGTGATGTACACCTGCGACTATTGTGCCGGGCACCGTAGATTCCTGTCCGTCCGCCCATCCTCCAATATGTTCCGTCCGTTTCCAATTACTGAGTGGTGTTGTTTGTTCACCGGTGACTGTGCACCCGAGAACCCCGAGTACCCGAAGCAGCTACAATCCCTCCATGCATCTAGCAGGGAGTTGGCTTTCTTTGATCCTCTGTTCCTTTCCAAAGTGATAAAACAATCCACGCTCCAATGATGTCAAGATCCAAATCCAATGAAAAAATCGCTTGCGCTTCAATGACGTATCGTATAACAAGTAAAGAAAAAAAAATGTGTAGTGAACAATGTCGCTTGTGGTATTTTGTAACGCCGCCCAGATGCAGAGAGAAATGACAACTTTTTTGGTGGGGTATCGAAAGATTTTATATGTCGAGAAGAATTAGTTGAGGAATTGATCGGTTTTAGTATACCGATATGGCGGATATCAATCGAGCGGGGTTCCTCCTTGGTGGAAGATAGAACCCTTGGCTGTAGAAATCGGCCTTGTTGTCTTCCTCATCTTCGTCGTCGTCTTTCGAATCACCATATAGTTCGGCTGTTGTCACTGTTGTTTCCCTCTGCTTGGTGGAGAATGTGGGCAGGTTGGCAAATGGCGGCGATGGTGGCATTGACTCGTCTTCTGATGAGTCGGAGTCGTGGTCGAGCTCAGGAGGAGATGCAGTGTGTGAAGGTGATCGTCGAAGGGTAAGAGAATCGTAGTCCTCCTCCTCGTCATCTTCGCTGGCATCAAAGTCGTCCTCGTCCATGAGCTCCATTTGCGGCGAGGGTGGCACAATGGTGTTTGATGGGATCCTCCTCAGAGGCACAACATCAGCCATGTCAATGTCCTCGTCCTCGTCGTCGTAGTCCTCATCGTCACTGTCCGAGTCCGAAGAGTCGGCTTCCCAGTCCTCATCGGTGTGCTCTGGGATGGCGTCGGCCCACTGAACGTGTCTGTCCTCGCCCTTGGCCGATGCACCCCGGACCGACTGGTTGAACCAGGTTTCTTGTTCCCGCTCGGCTTCGGCAAGGTCGAGCATGAGAGAGTCTAGTAGGTTGGCGTGACCGACGAGGAGTCTGAGGTTGTGGTCGGGCTGGGCAGCCTCCCGAGAGAGCTTCGCCCGGGCCTTGTGGGCCATCATGTAAGTCTGGGTGATGGACATCTTGTTGGATGGGGAGGATGGTCGTGGGTTGAAAGGGGATGATGAGATTGTAGAGACCATCTTGACTACTGAGGTTCAAGATATAATAATATACTAGGTGTGGTCTCTTGTTGTCAACTAAGTGGTAATGGTGCAATAGGCAGTAAGAATTTGTCTGCTCTCTTGTGAGTCAAGGCACCGAGGGTCGGCAAGACGAGCCCTTCTTGTATATTCGACTTTGAGCAGGGTCGGTGAGCTACAGGCGGTTTGGCTTGTCGGGGCGTGGGTCAACAACCCTTGCAAGTAGTTTGTATCTAAGGTAGTGTGGGTACGTGGATACCGCGTGGGTCATGTACCCTTGTACTTTTTTTTTTTCTTTCTTGTCTCCTCTTGGGCTGCAGGCGTTCGAGGCTGCAATGTAATAGTAGCGAGCTGAGATGCCGTTTCCGTTCTTTCGAGGGTAGGCAACGAGCTGTAGCATGGAGCTATTGGAATGCAAGAGTTTGATGGCTTGGGTTGTGCAAAAGAGCAGGTATAAGTATTTGCTTTGTTGTAGTTATGTTTACTCTTGAAATGGAATTGCTGACTGTGAAGACGTTTCGAAATGGATAGATGGGGGGATGGGAAAAGGATCCTTATGTAAATGACCGGAACCTGCTGAGTGTGTCGTGTCTGTCTCTTGATCAGTTCGGTCTTAAACGGGGTCAGGAGGGACGGAGCAAACGCGTCGGCCTTTGCTTGTGTAAACTACGAGCGGTGAGTCTTTGGCTGCATGGCTTGCTTGCTTACATACGAACCAACGGTAACGGAATCGCGGAGACATTGTCGCATAACCCCATGCATCCACTACGCACAAGTTCGGGTTGTGGAATTTGACGGACTTTGCGAGCGCCCGGGCTCGGTTTCTCAGCAATGGCCCTTTTGCCCACCAAGGTTTGCTGCTGGTATGTTACCTCTGCGCTGTACGTTACCTACACTACCTGCGTTTCTAGACCACTAATCTGCGTACCGACCTGACTGCGCCCTGTGATGATGGATGACAGATTACACACAATACCCGGCCAAGAAAGCCGGGTCCTTTCAAAGTCTATTGTCCAACTAATGTAGCGAGACGGCTTCTTCGTACGCCAATACAAGGTACCAAGGCGCCTGTTCTTGGCCAAAGAGTTACCTGAATCGCTCGTTCACGCAACCCTTGGAAACCGAATCCCGTCCATCCTCTCTCCCTCTCCCTCTCTCGGTTTTCGTTGATCTGCATTCGCTAGTTGTGACTCGTTCTCGGATGCTGAGGAATCGCATTCGTCAAATTTTTTTTTTCTGCTTCTTTCTGCTTCTGAATTAAAATGACACCATCCCAGCCAGCACACCACCCTAACCTTGTCTACTGCCCAGTCTTTGGGCTTTGCGCTGCATTGCACAGCAAAAAAAGGACGGCCGGATTGTTCAGCAGCACATTTGTGATGACTGCATTAGAAAGCACGCACATCCGCCGATTACCAACAAATCTTGTATTTTCCCGCCCATTAATCTGAGTCCGCACACAATGCATAAAATATAATGTACACTCTATTACTATTGCCATGCCATGCAAAATGATAACTACAACGAGAGCCGTCATTCAACACGATTCGCAACACAACCACCCATGGCCTTCTGTTGGTTTCGCAGTAATCTCAAATCACATACCCTTGCCCATTGCTAAGCAATCATGATGATCTCCATCTATCTGATGACATGTTTGAATAATGATCAAGTATACATTGGCGTTATGTCAATGGACGGATAATTGACCAAAACAACAGGGCTGTCATGAGACAGGAGACGCAATAGTTCTCAGACTGGCTCATTTCCCACAAGCTGGCCAGACGGCGACAGCGAACTCAATTTGAAGCTTTGATAAAAATTCCCGTCCGTCGCAGGTTCCATATGTCAAGACAGGTGATGCATCAGATTAGATGAATTGGATTGAGAAAAAAACACACACAGGGACCCTTTGCTTTGTGACGGTAACATTAGATTTAAAGTCTTGTTACTCGGTTATCGCCTACGTATAGTGTATAAAGTCCGCGGCGTACTCGGCCCAGTACTTGATGCCGCATCCCGCGTGGGCTCAATCGGCGCTCTGAATCATCAGGCAGTCATATTTCCTCACAATGTGACGGTGTCTAACCCCTGCGATCCTCAGTGCCTGCGTATGCGTCACAGCAACGGGCGTCGCTAAGATGTAGTAGCACACCATCATCATCGAGTACCCATCTGCCGCCGACTAATCATTCTCGGGTCAAGGCACAAGATTGCGACAAAGGCATGGGATTTGTGCATCGGAAGCGTGTCTGTTTGGGTTTTTCTTTCTTACTGATGAGGAACCAATGTTTTAGGCCAAGATCGCTTTGGATGACACCTTTTGACGATCGGCGCTGACACATTAATGCAGCAACAGCAGCACTGCCAGCGAGCTACCTTACCTAGGTATACTACATCTCCTATCAACCCCGGCATTTTGGTAGTTGCAGCAGCAGGCGGTGGCATTGAGATCTAATCTACCGCCTTTTCAGCGGATATGCCTGTCTTGGAAATCTGCGTGTCACGAAACAAGTGGTTGGTCCGTTGGCAAGAAACACCAAACTCCCCATAATTTTGTCCTCTCCTGGCTCCTAGGTGGAGTTTTCTGGACTGCTTCTGGCGCGATTACAAGTGCGTGGACAATAGCACAATGTGGAGAGATCTGAGACAGCCTAGAAAGTCCCCCCAAGGTGAGTGTGTACTATGTAGTGTAGAACCCTGGGCGAGCGCCAACACGGATCTCCCAGCTTGTGAGTGTTATTTGTGATTCGTACATGGTACCGTACGCATTTGCAAGATGGGTAGGTAGCTGGCAATCGGCGACTGTGGGGGAGGATAATAAATTATCACGGTATAGGTAGGGCTGAGAGGGTCGCAAAGATCTGACGAGAACGCCTCAGCCACACTCAAAATCCTCGCGTGCTACGATACATACCCGGTCCTTTACTACATACCTACTCCAAGTGTGATCAATGTGCTGAGCAGTGCTGAGCAGTGGTGCTATGCTTGCAGTGCAGTGCAGTGCATATACCCGACCAAACTCTACTCCCAATACATGCTCGGACTTTACCTATGAGTAACGTAGCAGCGCGGGAAACGATAATCTTCTTTCATGTAAGTCGAAATAGGCATCCGCTCTTGGGCTTCAAGACAGGAAGCAACATAATGCCATTCATTTTTTTAAGTGCATTGCGGTACAAAACAGCGTGCCTTGTCACGAAATGACCATCTGACTCTTTGCATAGCCAACAATGCTGGGCGCGCGAATCATTCTCCCACCGCTTGTTGACCAATCGAGTCCCAATACATGCTTAGGTGAGTTGGTGAGTTTCATTTGCTGCAGGAGGATACTTGCGTGGCACAACGGCATTGCGAAAAAAATAACCCCGTTTTACCCTCTGGAAATGAAAATCTCCAGGTACATTGGGTTTAGCCAAAGGAGTAGTAGGCAGTGCCTTGTTCACGATTCATTCATTTCACTTCGTCAGGCAGCCAGAGGGAGAGGGAAGAAAAAGGTCCAGACTGGGCTCGTCAACCTGACGACCACGCGCGACAATGCCTACCCCATGCCGAGCTGTGGGCGAAACACGATCCGCGCGGCATTGAGGCTCACCACTGGGGAAATTAGAGCTGAGTTTCCACACGAGTTTTCTCTGGCTGTCCCGAGCTTTGGGCATTGCCGTATGCCGCTCATTTCATCAATTGATTAACCGTCTTCCATGCCATTCTAGTTTGTGCTACGCTCTGCCACCGTTGTCGGGAACTTTTTTGATGAAAGGGTCTTTTCAGCCGTATCTGCGGAGAAGGAGCACGGTCAGAATTAGAATAGTTGCTTAATTGGTGTCACATCGCAAAGGCGTCCCCATTGAGGCTCGAACAAGTCAATCACATCACAGTCCCGCACCCTAAAGACCTGCGACACGGTAATTTCCTGGGGCTCACCAGTCAAAAGTGGCTGGGGCCTGGAAACCTCTACACAGTAGAAATATATTGTGTACTACGTATTATCTGGGGTGAGCTTGAGTTATCCTACCTATACGCCAGGGCAAGCCACTCAGTCAGCTAGCCATCGGCATGTCCTTGATAATCAGCCATGGGCTTTTCTTACACGCTGCATCTACATACAATACAACATATACGAAAGTCTGTAACTCTACTCGGACTCGCATGCATGAGCTTGGCCTTTATCGAAAGCCCATGTGAAAGAAAGATACATGAGCAAGTTTTCCACATCTTGATAGCATCATCGATTTTCCCTTTTTTTTCGCAATGACACAAAACCTGCTGGATTGCCAAAAAGCCGCGACAGGTCGCTTACGAATCGGGGTCTCGACCACACTGATCGACTGGCTGGCTTACTTAAACATGGTGCGGACTTAGCACCATGGAGATTGGCAACTAGACCGGGCAACCGTTTGTTCACAGGTAACAAGGATTTTTTATCTTTTGTTACCCGGACCCCATCGGGCTTAACTTTGAGCCGCCCTGGGGGAATGGTCGGTGACCCTAGGACCCCGAGCTCCAGCTGCTCTGGCAGCAGTGCCTCTTCTCGGTGGGACGGGATCAAACGAACCAACCGTCTAGTACTCCAATATTAATCGTGTTCAGCTGACGTTTGGATTGGATGGTCACTTTCTAGGCATATTGCCGTCACGAGCGGGCAAACAAGTATCCTGCCTCACGCGACCAAACACCTAGGAGGTCCAATAGGAAGATGAAAACGGCCTCATCAACTTTTCACTCGATGAATCCTTGATTCGAGTGTGAGTGAATCAATGGTAGGCAGAAACTCTAAAGCCGCGTATCAAGCTTGCGTGGACAGTCTGTTGTCCACCCAGGCAGCTCTCATTCTTTTTTGACCATGTATCCGTGTCCGCTTCCGGCTGTTTCTGCCTTGATCGGCAGGTTTTCGTCGCGCCGCGACAACAAGGAAAAAAACTACGTTAGCGGGGAAAACTGTCATAGGATGGAGACAAAATGGTACATGGTAGGAAAAGATAAGATCTGACTCCAGGGTCCTGTCGCCTTTTTGTTTTTCTCCGGGGAGAGATTGACAAGCGTCCACCACGAACCCGGATCGCCTGGGCGCGGACTGTTTTTCTTTTCCATCTCAGCCAGCCTTGGTAGCCGACCGAGCGAGCGAAGGGCGGGCTTCCGCCCGACGTTTTGTACAAAGTTGGGCCCAGAATCCGTCGATCAGTGTGAGTCGGGCTTTCATCCATAAGGCCGACCGAGCGCCTTCATGTGCGACATCCGAGGATCAATTCCCTACCATGACACCGTACTACGTCCTCCTAGCGTCTGTCTAATAAATAGAGTTTTGCCATATCCTCAGTGACAATGTGAGTCAATACCGGCTGGCCGGATTGCCGTTTTGTGCCGTCAACAGTCATACATGGACGCACGCACACACACATACACACAATGTACCTGACCTGATAAATGGCTCCTGCGGGAAATGTCATGTCTCGACCGAGCAATATCCGGGTCCCGGCATATATTCAAGACCCGCAAATCGGCCGATTCAATCACTTGACTCAGCTGGCTCGTTTGGGCAATACTATAGTGAAGACACAAAAGGCTGGCCCCCAGTTTCGCGATTTGCTCTGGGGACCGAGTCTAGATGCAGATGATGCTTTACTCTAGTTTACATCTGCAACTTTGGAGAGACGGCACACGTCTTGGCGTTATCGTTGCTATTGATCAGATGAGTATGTTGCCGTATCAATAGGTGCTACCTTGGTTGCGGCAGGCCACATTTTAGCCCTTTTGGCCGTCTGTCACATTTAAAGGAGCTGCAAGTTTCTTGGTTTTGTGCGGTACATGAGTAGTTGAACAAGGTAATGGATGATGGAAGTAATCCCACGACTCTACAGAATACACTTCCTTACCAAAAAAGGGTCACGGTGTTAATTTGAGAGAGGAAGAGGGGCTGCTGACACAAGACTCAGCCGTGTGCCGTCAAACGTTGTTAGACACCTCCCTGGTAGGTAGGTAGTAGATTCTTCCCACCCAGTTGATCAAGACGCGCAAGGTGAAACTCAAATACAATCCTACTTCTTACTGTCATTGGGGAATCCTGCGTAAAAAGGTACACCTTTTTTTACCATCCCACTCTGCCCCCTTCTCGGGGGATCACTACGGTCCTGTCCCGAAGGAGCACCACGGTGCCTTGACCCACTCCCCACGTGGCAACGCCTTTCTGCATAGTATAGTCCATCTACCCAACGTAGTCAATGTAAGGCGCTCTCACTCAGCAGTTGTCCGTCTCGGTTGGCACGGTAGGATTTTGGGGGGACCCCTTGACCGAGCTGGGCTGTCCAGAGGGGGATTTTCTTACTCCCCCTCCTCTCTCCCAGTTTCATAATTGGACGCGTCCATTGAAATATTTAAAAAAGAATATATCGGCTACGGGCTAGAATTACAAATCCAATAAGGAACAACAATGGGCGTTTGCCAAAGGGGCGGTATGGTCAGGGGGTTGGTCCGCCGATAAGTCAAGGGCTCGCTTCCTATAAGCTTTCTTATCGCTCAGCTTATTACTCTCTTGCGCAGGTTCTCGGCTTTGCGGCTGAAATTATGGGGTACAAGCTGCTTACATCGTCTACTTTTAGGGTCTACCGTTTGTGGCAGAGTAGCCATGTACCGCGAGAAACCTCGATGTACAGGCTCTAGAGAATTTGATTCCGTCTGTTCAGCCATATATAACCCCCTGTATGAATGTATTGCAACGAAAAACCGCCTGGGAAATCAGTTTGTGATATCGAAGCTGAGTATGAGTGACCATCACGACAGAGTAATGCCCATAACGCTTTCTACTCAATTTACCATGCTTACGAGGGCGACAAGGCACATGAACATTGGATATGACTACAACGCGTTGAGTTGCTCGCCTCATTTCTGACCCGGATCATATCATCAAAATCACAGTACTGTTTTGTCAATTCTGTAGTGATTCGGTGATTTTGTAGTAAGAGTATATCACGGGCACGTATCACGACCAGAAAGATTTTGCTGTACAGAAATGAAGTGCGCACTGAATTGCACAGAGCTGTTATTTTTAAACGTCGATTTGCCATTGTTACCAGCCTCAAGAACTTCGCGGAAACTTTGGGTTGAACCTGTTCATCATCATTTTAGAATAGAAACGAAGTAAATGGTTGATACATTGCTGAGATAGTAGTTATTCATCACAGATCTCGAGAATATGCTGTCAAGATATTGATAAGCAGTAGGTAGCTTCCAATGTCAATATCCATTTGTGTTAGATTCCAGGCGCCAAAGCATATGATGAGGAAAGTGAAAATGCTTAGACAACCACCAATGAATTATGCAGAGACAACTTATTGCACTGTAAATCTCCTGAATTTTCCGAAGAGTCATATTGCTTTGGATAGAATGTGATATCAACTGTTCGCTCACTCTGCACGGAGTTTCTGCATACCCCTTTTCCTCTTTCCGCCAACCTCCTTGTTCTCCTCGATTTCCAGAAGTGCCTCCCTCTTCTTCTCGCTGACGAGCTTGAGCGCATCTCTGACTACTCTGGTCTCTAGGTTGACACCCTCCTCCTCCCAGGCCACCAGATCGCGACCAACTCTGGTCTCAATAGCATGGACAAGGTCAACGTCACGTTGGCCAACAAAGCTCACCGCGTCACCCTTGCGTCCGGCACGAGCGGTACGACCAACTCTGTGGATGTAGTCATCTGGCTCTCTGGGCAGATCGTAATTGATAACCAACGAGACCTCTGGGATGTCGAGACCTCTAGCGGCCACATCTGTAGCCACCAGGATACGCGCTGCTGAAGCCCTGAATCTCCCCAGGTTGTCTATCCTCTGGCGCTGTGGCAGCTTGGAGTGAAGTGATGTCACCCTATGGTCCAAGAGTCGTAGCAAATGATGCAGGTATTCTGCAGTGCTCGTCCGATTGCAAAACAGAATAATGGACTTTTCCGCGTTCGCGTCAGTGAGGAGCAGTTCATGAAGGTAATGCTCCTTGTGCGTGACGGGCACCTGAAGGTACATTTGGTTCAATGTGGCAGGAATAGCAAGCACTTGCGTGTCAACTTCACATAGGAAAGGCGCCGGTTTGCCTGGTTTCCGGGGAAGGTTCTCCAAGGCCCGCACTTCGGGAGTCATGGTTGCGGTGAAGAGCAGAGTCTGCCTCTCTGAAGCGGGAGGCAGCACACGTAAACATTGTTCTGGCTTGTCATTAGTTTCATGCTCAGGCGAAGAAGGGGGTTATCGAAGATCAACATACCGATATCAGGCAGCATCGAGCCCGGACCCTCTGACAATAATCTATCGGCTTCATCGAGCACCAAGAACTTGACTCTTCGAAGGCCACACCATGTGTCTTCGCCAGAGCTACGGATATGATCTGCGAGGCGCCCCGGCGTCGCAACAATGACGTGCGGGCGCTGAGCGATTGCGATTGCCTGTGCTCTCATATCAGCACCACCTGTGACTAAGATGGCCTTTACGGTCTGTGCAGACGAAATGGCCTTGACTTGCTCCATGATTTGGAGGGCAAGCTCTCTGCTTTGTGTTAGCTGCCAGTTATTAAGATAGGGTTGAGGCTATGTTTGTTTACACACCTGGTTGCTGTCAAGATCACTGCAAAGATGGCACTTGGATCCTCGGCCAATTTCTGCAAGATAGGGGCGGCAAACGCGACTGTCTTTCCTGAACCAGTACGACTTCCTCCGATGCAATCCCTTCCTGCTAAGATTTCAGGAATACATGCTTTCTGAATGCCCGTAGGCCGCTTGATGGCCATATTGGAAAGCGACTGAACCAGCCATGGCCGCAGGCTCAAGGATTCGAAAGTGACTTTTGGGTCTACTGGCACAGATGTTGCTGTTGGTATATTCATAGCCATGGGTTTCACTGGCTGCGAAGCTTCTGGAGCAGCCGGGGCACGTTTCTTTCCAATGCGCGACGGAGCCTGTATCGAGGAGATCACAGAGGTCTCGTATGGCTCATCGTCCTCTGGCTCCACCTCGATCTCAACGCTCACCTTGCGCTTCTTTCGAGGGGCATCGCTGTCCAAGGCATCCGAATCAGAGGCATCGTCGCCTTCGCTAGAGCCTTCATCGTCGCTGCTAGCCTCTGACTGCGATGCAAGAGAGACGACTTCCAGCTCCTCGGTATGAGCCGGGCGCGACTTCTTGGCGCCGCTGGTCCTGGAGGGCATAGCGAAGAGAAGCGAAGCGGCTCCGCTAGGAAAAACAAGGATGAAGAACAGAAGAGGGTTGAGTCTTCTGTATTGGAACACTCGGACGCAAGTTGTTATAATTCGACTGCTCCTTTGCAGGGATTTGTGCTGCAAACAGTAGCAATCAGATATGTCAGAATGCCAACGATAATGTAAGACTGCATACGCCAGACGTAGTGCTACACTTGGACAAGACTGATGGAGTCGATTCCTATCAAGATTGTTTGTTGGGTACTCAATAGGAATGTCGTTGCCAAATATCGTGACTGCAATATCAAAATGTGAAAATCTTTGGACTTCGCGCTTACCGTTAAAAAAAATCCATGGTGGGGCAGCTTACAAGGTACGTACCCCTTTGGATCTTTTTTGGCCTTTGGGGGTCAATCGATGTGGAGACCAAAGTTAGATGGCAACATTGAAACAAGCACTACAATACTACGGAATACTACACTGGGCAGTCTTATTACATCAATACACCTACTCTAATGCGCAAGTGTGAATGGAGAGAGATATTGATTGAGCGAGTGAGTTTTGCTGAGTGGTCGTAGTTTGTGGGTTGAGAAGCCAGTATTATTAGATCATGTCCAGAAGTGCAGTCACTGAGAAGCCCGTCCAATGAGACCAGGATTGAATGCTTTAGGCGCCCGGGGTTTGGAACCGATCGAATTAGACGTGCATGGCAGCATTGATCGCATCCATAGAGATGACGCCTCTCTCATTTCGCTGATTCTGTATTTGTGGTTTCGAAAGCCATCTCGAGCAGGATTTGCAGCAGGAGGAGCTGACGGCACTCGGTAATGACGCCGCCTTGTGCGTTTGAAGCCACCAAGTCCAGCATCAATAATACATGTCTATTATAGAGCACATATCCAGATACACAAATGATCTGCAGATTATATGATACCTGGGGAATAGTGCTGGTAATGAGGTAATTTATGCAAATTGGTTGGTCTCGTAGCAATCGATTCCAGTTCCAACCGGCATGTGCAAGTTGTCAAATTGTACCTGATACCTGAAGAAGCCCACGTACGCACAAGATAGTCTGTTTATTTGTATACTTGGAATTTTAGCAACGGCAGTAATGCGTTTCCCAACCCTCGCAGGTTGATTGGCGTCTGCGGTATTGCTTGCGCTATTAGCGTTCGATCTGTCATTTTCTCCCCCACTGCTCAAAGATCAATACTCTGTACGAGGCATTAACAAATCGCATTGCCGATGTTCATATTAGGAAGCCTTGATGACATGTATGCAGATGGTAAGCAGCAGTATTCGATATTGCCCAAGAAGACATTCGGCCCCCAAAGGCCCAACGGTGCCCTCCGCAAATATTTCAGCCCCAAAACGCGCCCAGATGACCGCCGTGATACCCGTGACGGTTTCCCCCACACCATCAGTATAAGTGGTGGCCATTTGGGTCGTACTGGATTGTATCGCGAGTGAAGGTCAAGTCTGTGTAGTACAATTTGAAGTCTCGCCGGTCCGCTATAAAGTTATTCTTCATGTGTCGGGCAGATACAAGCTGCGATGAGTAAAACCTACATATGTGGTCTCAAGGTTCAAGTCGTACTGCTCTAAAGATTGTATGATATCAAAGCCAAGACACTCCATGAAAAGGCATGTGTACTACGTAGATGCCCGGGATATATATCTATCGTTCTCTCTGCCATTACTTCGAAGTGACGTGATCCATGGAACATGCTCTTTTCATGATAACCATCCATGTTCCTTCGATGACGCTCCAAGCCAAATGGCGTTGGAGGTGGGATGACAACGGAGCTCCAGGTTGTTATTGCAATGGTTATTAGTATGTTTTGTTCCTCGTAGATGATGAGGTGAGAATGAGATGGATCATGGGAAGGCAGACAAGCAACCAGGGTCCACCTGCATCGTCGTACAACTAATTGTGTGCATTGCGCACTAATAACAACGAGGTAGCTTGAATATTTTAAGTTGAACAGTTCTGGATAACTGCAAAGCCATTTGCCCTAGTGCAGAACTCCAATTGCGCCGTTTCAGCGGGAAGTCTCTCCAATGGACGCCCACAGCCGCCACGGTGGGCTGCCTTGGCTTGCTTGGGCTGAGATCCCCCCCCTACATTACTTCTTTTCATCCTTACCTGGCAAGCAACCTGGAGCAGGCAATCCAAAGCCCCTTTGGGGCCATAATGAAGTGTTCCTGTCTCTGTGTGACACGAGAGCGCGTGGAGCGGGCGAGACAAATGAGAAAGATGGAAGCACTCTGTTATTGTCTACAACAGGGCCATACATCCATACATGCATGGTTAGAATGTTCGCATATCTGCCTTTATAATGCCCTGTCAATTCCCTTCCCCCCGTCCATCGATATCGACGTATCTAGGACTCGCACAGCACTCAGCTACATTACACTTACTCCATATTATCCATTATATGTTCCGTGTCTCCCTCCTCTTTGCTAGCAAGCGTCATTTGCGACTTGCATTTCGCTAGCCGCCAGGCCCTGTCTCGAGTGAAGATCACGAAACGGTCCAGTGTCAAACTCCCCGAGCCGGGCTAAGCTTTACTTCTTTCTGAATGGAGCCATAGCTGTTTCGATACGTAAACCTTCCATCTCGTCACGCCCCCTAGCCAATCTCACAGACGAACCAAGCAAAAGTCTGACAAGTCAGAGCTCCCTCGGCGACTGGACAAGCACAAGACAAGAAGGGGAGACGGAAACTCACGCCAAAGCAGTCTGACCATTTCCCGTCCGTCAATCAGCTCTCTCGGTCCGCTCGCCCTGCAACGACAGACCAAAGGCAGCTTCTTGTCGCCCAACCCAGAGCCCTTCTCCACTGGCCCGTCGAGGCGTCTCTTTTGGCGCTGGAGAGAGTGTGTGCCGACATCCTTGCCTAGCACAGTCCCCACAGCCGAGAGTCCAGGGTCTCTGTGGTCCGCCCGCTTCGCTCGATCGGTCTCCGCTTTCAAGAAGAGAGGAGAGGGCAGCAGAGGTATTGGCACGAGCTGCTGCTGCTGCTGCTGCTGCTGCTGGCTGCGGGACAAAACCCAACGGCCACTGAAATCAGGAGGGGAAGGGCACATTTCAACCATCCCATCCACTCAGCCATTCACCTAGCGAGCGAGTGCATACAGCTTCCGACCAACTGCTTCTCGCCTGCTTCGCTTTTCTTTACTCTGCTTCATATTCAGCACGTGTCACTGCAGCTGCTTCTTTTCACCGTTGTTTATCCTTTCGCTCAAGAAGATATACGTCCGCCTCGTTTGGATATATCTTTTTCTTTCTAACCTTTGCCATCCATCGCCTATTACTTTTTAGCTTGCATGACCGTTTGCTTTTACCCGTCCGATTGTTGGCCGACTCCCCATTCCGCACTGCTACCTACCTTAGCTTTCTTGTAACTCATTTCAAGTACAAGTCACCAGTATACAGCGCGGCCGCGTTTGTTGCTGCCTCGTCCTCGTCCTGGTCAGAGTCTGCCGTCACTTATCGTTGACGGGAAGCGACAGATACAAGTTGGATCGGCCCTACTCGACTACGTTCCACAACGACAAGAACAAGTGCTTGCTGGATCTCCAACTGGGCAGCCCTTAGCAGCGACTATATCTGCATCTGCATCGTCATTTCTTGGTTTTCTGTACGACAAAATGGCTGAGCCGGGCCCTCATTCAGGGGCACCTCATGTTAGTGAGCCTATTCTTCTTTGTGCTGCGTTTGACGTGCCTTTCCTTTGTCCTCCCATCCGACTCGTGTTTTGGTTAGAAAAGTCTCCAAATGTGCCGCTCTGGTCATCAGCAGAAATACTGACGTACCCTTACCATGAAGGCTCCCATCCCTTCCCTCGAGACACCGCCACCTGCGCCTCCGATAGTGACGCCTGCGAACCCGAGTCCGGTTCCCATGATGAACTCACCAGCTCCTTTGCTTCGGCCTGCTATTGGGGGCGGGAGAGCGAGCGGCGCCAGAACGCCGAGACTTGGACTGGCGATCCCTCCCTCGCCGAACGTGAAGGCAGTGGGCGGTGCAGCAGCTGGTGGCAGGCCACAGCTGCCAACCTTGCATCTGGCTACTCCCATGGGCAGTACCGTAGTGCCGTGCGAACAACAACCGAGACAGATTAGTATTCAACCGGGACAATCCGCAAGTGGCGGCAGTGAGAGTAGTGCAGCACATTCAAGGTCGGGCAGTTTTGGACCCTTGGATGGCAGGGCGAGCAATCCTACCTCGGCAGGCTCGCAGTTCTCTGCTCTGTCCTTCGCATCACAATACGGCATTGGGTCGAGACCACAAGGGACACCCGATCCAATCTCGGCGGCTGTCTCTCTTTATTCGGAAAAGAGTGAGGGAGGCGTTGGTATGGAACGAGACGGCAGCATGCAGGGCCTGGAAAACAGCTTTGACAAGCTGGCTTTAGAGAAGGCGCGGACCGCCGATGTAGAAGACTTGGACGACGAAGGCTGGAGGATTGCCAGCGTGGAAAAGAGAATCGTGGAACTCGGCGGCCTAGGCGAAGGAGCAGGAGGCGCCGTAACAAGGTGCAAATTGACTGGTGGAAACACCGTCTTCGCACTCAAGGTAAGCCTTCCAGGCTCTTGTTGGTAAGCTCGTTTTAGCTGACCAGAATGTCATCTAGGTCATCACCACCAACCCGGATCCCGATATCAAGCGACAGATTGTGCGGGAAATCAATTTCAACAAGAGCTGTGCTTCCGACCATATCTGCAGATATTATGGCGCCTTTGTCGATCCTGCCACAGCTACCATTTCGATCGCAATGGAGTTTTGTGAAGGTGGTTCTCTCGACAGCATCTACAAGGAAGTCAAGCGGCTTGGTGGACGGACGGGCGAAAAGGTCCTGGGTAAGATCGCAGAGGGTGTGCTCGGCGGTCTCACATATCTTCACAGCAAAAAGATCATCCACCGTGATATCAAGCCCAGCAACATCTTGCTCTGTCGCAATGGTGCTGTCAAGCTTTGCGACTTCGGTGTTTCGGGAGACTTTGGAACAAAAGGCGAGGCCAACACCTTTATTGGTACGAGCTACTACATGGCGCCTGAGCGAATTACAGGACAAAGCTATACAATCACTTCGGATGTTTGGTCAACAGGTGTCACGCTTCTCGAAGTAGCACAGCACCGCTTCCCATTCCCTGCCGATGGAACAGAAATGCAGCCAAAAGCTGGCCTGATCGACCTGCTCACATACATTGTCCGACAGGAGATACCAAAACTCAAGGATGAGCCGGATTCGAATATCTACTGGAGCGACAGTTTCAAATATTTCATAGAATGCTGGTAAGTAAAGTTGTCAAGTACAAGACAAGGCCAGATACTGACTCGATTCGCAGTTTGGAGAAAGAACCAAGTCGCAGAGCTACTCCATGGAGGATGCTAGAACACCCTTGGATGGTTGAAATGAAGACAAAGCGTGTCAACATGGAGAAATATCTGTCTCAGGTATGGGGATGGGACGAAGCAACCAAAGCTGCCTGAGTAAGCATATCAATGCTCGCCTCGAGAACACGCGGAGGAAATATGCAGCAGATATCTGGCTTTTGGATACCCTGTTGGAAAAATACGTACAATCTCTGCCAACACAGAGAACTAGATCGCTGCAGAAATAATTGGTGGCTATCAGCGTCCGCACTTGATTGACAGAAAACAGCAGAAGCAAGCTTGGCCAGTCTGAAGGACCGGGGTATCTTGGACGAATCTCAACACATCAGGGTAGTTGATCCAAGGAACCCCTTCATGCGCGCATCGAATTATTCTTTTTGGGAACATGGGTTGAATGGTTGGACGGACGGGTCAGATAATCTGAATGAGAACGTATCAGATCCCATTGTGGCCATGCGATTAACTTCTGACGCCCCATCAATAGAGTGAGCACCAACGATGAGCTGCAGACTGTGGCATTGGGGGCCAATATCCATCTCAACACGTGGCGTGACAAGGACCCCGTCGGTTCAAGTCGTCGCTGACGCTCAGCCTCACGCACGCATGTAACGGTGCAGAGCGGACGGTTACAATATTGACCACGCCTCAGGCACGCACATGCATTACCACGTGGGCTTTGCCCGGCATGTAATGTCGACAGTTTCAAGGTGCTTGAGTCTATTCCGTAAAAGTTTATGAATCTCCGGCTCTCGTCTATCGGAGTATCTTTTTTTTTTTGTCCCTGCCAGACGCCGATAATGTAGTCCATGTCAAGTTCAGCCGCATCATACAAGAAGAATTTTCACCTGCGACGATTACTCAGGTAGGTAAGCTGATTCAGTTGGAGAACCTGAGGGTTCCTTTCTATGTACACCGATTCGACACATCGTACATCATGTCTCAGAAGGCATTTCTCGCTGTAAAACAAGGTCTTGGTTGATCATGCAAACAAGTTATATTCGACCTTCACGGACGTCAACACTATCTGGCATAAGCAGATGTCTTGGCAGATAGGTCGTCGTGTGTCTTTGACATATGGATAAGATCGAGACTTCACGGACAAGCAAACAATCAGTCTAGTAATGGCCTGTCACTGAAGATATAATATATACGCAAAGCACATTGCCGTTGCCTAAACCAAACATGAACTGGGCGAGCCTCGAAGATGGATCCTGGTCACAGTCTCGAAGGCTTGTTTGTTTCAGGACAAGCCTCGTAATTAAGCTTCACATTTTGCGGGCTCTAAAAAACTGCTGATCCATATCCGCTCAGACCCGGTTCCGCTAATTCTGTAAGCGCCGATTTTTTCCATCTGACAAATGTCTGTTATCTCTACCAAAAAAAAAAGCCAGGGCTAGTTGTCTTAATCGAAATTGTACCCTGGTAATATCAACGGTCTGCTGTGTGTAGGTTGCCATCACGATAATCTGACACTTTAATGGATAAGTCGCATTCATAAATATGACGAAAACCATATTGTCGTTTTTATAAACCGGGAGGCTCGATTGGGCTTGAGTCAAAGTGATACAAGATTGCCTCAAATGAAAGCTGCTTGGATTTACTTTATCTGCCCAGACAGCAAGAAAAGGAACCACCAATTGATGAAGTAGGGGCCGACCGCTATCTGAAGGAAGAAGCTGCCAAACTGCATTGCTGCTTTAAAACCGGCACACTCGAATTCTCATCATGGCGGTCACCGAGCTGGAGAAGCCTAGTCCGTGCGAAGATCGCGGCGCCGCAGTACCTACCTTTGTCCGGGATGATCTCTACGAGGAACGTGACACGGGAGGCGCCGGCATCGCCGTGTTCGCGACTTCATGTATAGCTTCCGGCACCCGCCTATTCTGCGAGCAGCCGCTGATAGCGGTGCCGGGCGAGGCGACGCAGCTCGGCGTGTTCCGAGCCGTGGCGGCGCTGCCGGGTCCGGACCAGCAGGCATACTGGGAATTGGCTGCCTGCTCCAAGCCGAGCAAGGACCTGGAATGGATCACCGAGTTGAGGCAGTCGTCTGGAGAGGACGAGTCCTTCAATGCCTTGGTCGAGGCGCACGAGCGCGCTTGGTCGATATACGAGACGAATCGTTTCAATATGCGTTTCCCCAATGGGGACCGCAAGTTTGGCGTCTTTTACAAGGTAAGGATACCATCCCATGTCGAAAGGGCATCAAAGTCTGGCAAAGGCCGGTGTGTATTGACTTATTCTGTCTTTTTTTTTACGCAGGCTGCTCGTTTGAACCACTCTTGTTCGCCAAACGTGTTTCATAGGTATAACCCCCTCATCAACCGGTTGACCATTCATGCGCTTCGAGATATTCAACCCGGCGAGGAGCTCAATACGTCGTATATCGACATCTGCCACCCTACTGCCACCCGGAGACAGATCCTCAAGGACTGGGGCTTCAAGTGTCAGTGCTCCGCCTGCGAGAGCAGCGATAGCCAGCGAGACCTCCTGAGCAAGAGGATCGAGGACGTCATGGTCAAGCTGAGGAAGCGCGAGGACAAGGTCAAGTCCAGACCGCACCCATGGGAGGCCAAGGAGTACTCCCGGTCCATGGCTCTCATCGAAAAGGGACTGCGTCTCATGGAGGAACACGGCATGTCCGAGACGGACACCTCGGGCTATCTGCTCTCGCTGGCAGCTACATATGGTGCGAGAACTGGTCGTCACGCGGAGGCTACCGAGTGGGCCGAGAAGCTCGTGGACGTGGAGATGAAGTGTCTTGGGGACGACAGCAACGAGTATCGGGCCGCCGTGGAGCTGGGCCGACGGATAAGTGAAGGATCGTGGTCACCGTTTTGATAATCAGCCTTGGAGTCCAAAAATTGAATTCATCATTTCAAAACAACTCTTCACTCTGAAGAGCATCAGTGCAGTAACCGCGTTTTGTCATCCCAACACTTTTTGATCAATAGAGGAGTAATCTTCAATGTTTGCTCCTTGATACCCATAGGTCCCTTCGTGAACCTCTGCCGGAATCTTGAATCCCGACTTTCGCAATTTTTGAAAGACTTGACCCGGATCATATTTCTCGGAAACCCTTCGAATCGTTTCCACCGATGCTTTGCCATACGATGCAAGGGAATCTTGGGCCAAGTTTGCATAGTTTAGATAATGCCAATTCCAATTCGCCCCAATGGACGTAGCATAGCTGTCAACATCATCAAACCACTCTCGAAAAATAGGCCATAGCTTGGCCTCATCTTCTGCACTGTGAATGCCGATGCCCAGGAGGAACATGACCCCGTTGCCGTCTTTGACGCGGTCCTCGAGGCCCAAGACATTGCCGCCTTTCGCGGCGCTGTGCCCGACGAGAGTCTGCGTAATGGGCTGGAACAAGCAGAGTGTGTTGAACCCGCTATCCGCGGGATAGTCTGGAACCAAGCGTGCAACGATCTCTTTGTGTTTTTGCACGATATATCTCATTATGCGGGCATCATTCTTGTAACCGCTCGAGAACCACAAGTGTCTAGATAACCGGCCAGTAAGCACACCAGATCAATCATGTTTGATCAAGGACAGGTTTCCACTCACCGAAAGCCATATGGCTGCGCGAGTCCAAGCTCTGCCGTGATTTCTTGCATCGGCGCAGATCTCAGCGAAGTAGCAGTAATGCCCGGCACTGACAGAAAGCCATCAAAGGCTGGTGGGAACGCGGCATTGATGGTATTGTCGAGTGCAACATTGAGAATCATGCCGCCCGCCTCGGGCACATAGGCCAAGTAGGGAAGAGTCGAGCTGTTTTGATCCTTGTAGACGTTGTCGGCAAAGTCGATATAGGCATCAATGACGGCGTCGGTGGCGCCGAGGTCGTAGCCCACGACGCCGCCCCAGATATCCGTCACGCCAGGGTCCGGAAAGTCAATCACGTACATGTCGAAGCGGGTGACGAGGCCGAGGTTGCCCGAGCCGCCCTTGAGGCCTTGCCAGAGGTCCGCGTGCGCCTCGGCGTTGGCGTCAACGATGGACCCGTCGGCCAGGACGACCTCAAAGTTGTGGACATTATCGCAGCCAAACCCGTGCGAGGCCGAGTGAAACGAGTTGCCGCCTCCCGTGAGGAAACCCGCCACGCCGACGGTGCCGGCGCGCCCGCCCGTGACAGTGACGCCGTAGGGAGCGAGGGTTTCGTAGACCTGCTGCCATTGGCTTCCGGGAGGGACCGAGGCAATCTTGGTGTCGCTGTTGTATGTGGTCTTGTTGATGAATCCTTACCTTATGGGTCAATATGGCAATTCTTGCGTGACTATGAAAGGGTTTATTTGTTGCATCTGCTTACCAAAGTCAATCGTGATGCCCTCATCGACGCTATTGGAATATGCAAAAGACCCATGTCCGCCACTGCGGACGCCAAAGGAGCAATTGTTTGCCACGATAGTCCTAATAATATGTGCCACATCCTCGGTGCAGGTCGGCAGAACCATACACGTTGGCGCAAGAGCTGCGCTTCTCGACCAGTACGAATCAAGACGGTCATCGTATGAACTTGACTTTGGGAAATAGACATTGCTGCCGAGAGCCGATGCATGGAGAGCATGACACTGAAGAAGTTGGGTTATTGTCTGGGCACATTGAGCGAAGTGACTGAAACTCACGCATTCTGCATCGTGAACAGAGGCCGACACGGCGCTGATGAATGTGGTAGAGTGTGCAATGATACTGGCTATGACGAGCGACTTCATGATGTTCGAAAGAGACTTGACGCAAAGTCAATGGTCTCCATGATAGACAACAGGTTTCGAATCATGACAGGGCTCATTATAAGAGACTGGCACGATGAGGGGTAATGCGAGACACAAGCCAATAGCATTCCATGAATTATGTCTCTCAATACTTTGTTGCTCACGTCAACTTATCTTGGCGAGGCTGTAGACGTAGATGATCAACGATACACAAGCCAATGAGCCAGGACTGTCTTGAATAACTTCTTGTTCACGTCACACGAAAGCTGCATGGAGGAGATGCAAATGTGAGAGCCCATAGAGGAGAACATGTACAAAAAATGTCAGTAGAATGAATCTATTGGATATATGAGATGGTACCACCACACTTATATCATGGATGGAAATTGGGGGTGATTGCGGCGATCGATTGGGGTAATCACCAATGCCGAAGCGTCACATACAGACGGATTATACAGCGGATTACATGAATCAGGCTGAGACAAACGATTCACTGAAAGAAGAGGAGAATCATATCCAGGTGTTAATGAGAAGCAGTCAGCATGCAGTGAGATTCTCTTGGCTTGGGATGAATGGCGCCAAGTCCGTTGGGGCAAAAATGCGCATGAATAAAGGGAGCAAAGGGGTGCGCATTCTCTTGCATCAACATATTCACCTTTCAGATACAGGTCTGCCTATAGAACAAGAAGTATGCGTACCCCATACGAAGTCGACATTCTTGTCGACAGGGTTCTGATATGTATGAATCGTAAAACAGTATACTGGTGGAATGTGGTCACGAGTTACGCTCTGCTTTCCGTTTCGACTTGTTCTGTCAATCCCAGTCCAGCTACGAAACGACTGCTCGATTGGGGTTTTCTTATTAAGAAACACAAAACTATATGTGGTCGTTTGTGAAAAGAGGAAAGTCAAAGTATAACAGCCCAATTATATTGGAGAAATATGATTTTGATAAATTAAAGCTACGCCACAGTTTCGAGTAATATGTCGCTTATTCTTGCATTAAACTGCCTGCGATAAGTCAAGACGAGATTGACATGAAACTTGTTATCTGAAGAATACACGGCTTGATTGAAATGTCCAAAGTTTTAGGGGAAAAAAAAAAGATGGTTCTACGTGCAGTCTCAACTTAGCAACGTGGCTGATGGTTTCATGATGAATGGCAGAGATGAAATGTCCACTATAATCCCCCCCGGAGCCGCCTCCGGACCAGGCTCCGTTTTAGTGGGCCAAGAACTGCCCCTCGCCGCCTGGGTCGTCTTTTGGTGCTGAATGGGCTTTTCTCGCACCCCCACTACGTCACATGCTGGATCATGGAAATTACAATCTTCCTCTTGATTAGCAGCATCCCCAATTGATCCATTGTACTTTTGACTCTGGATCAGCCATGCCGGTAGGTCGGCACAGCTGAGGATAACAGCTTAGACATTGGCTCACATTAGATACCCCCAGCTCATCATCCTCGCCGGCTTCCCCACCTCGGGCAAGAGCACGCGCGCAAGGCAGCTGCACAAGTATCTCGAGGAACGGATACAGTCGCAATCGCAGCAGTCGTCGTCGGGGGGCGGCAGCAGCAGCAGCGCGCCTCCAAAGTACCGCCTCCACCTCATCTCGGACCAGTCGCTGTCCATTTCGCGGTCCGTCTACGACCTCTCGACCCTGCCGGCGCACGTCCGCTCCGCCAACGCCTCGGAAAAGGACGCTCGCGCCACCATCTACGCCGCCGTCAAGCGCGTGCTCTCGGACAAGGATATTGTCATCCTCGACGGCCTCAACTACATCAAGGGCTGGCGCTACCAGCTGCACTGCGAGGCCAAGGCCGTCAGAACCCCGAGTTGCATTCTGCAGATTGGCAGCGGCAAGGACAAGGCGCAAAAGGTCAACGAGGAGCGCCTGCAGCGGCAAAAGGACCGCGAGGCCGCTGGTGGTGAGCCGGCAGGCGATGACGAGGCCGAGGCCCCGTACTCTCCGGAGAACTGGGAGAATCTCGTGTTTCGCTATGAGGAGCCCAACCCCATGACAAGGTGGGACAGCCCGCTGTTCACGCTGGTATGGGACGACGACGAGGCGCAGACGAAGCAGGTCTTTGACGGCTTGTGGGACGCCATTGCCGGCGAGGGACGCAAGATTATCAAGCCCAACCAGGCCACCATCCAAAGGAGCCGCGACGCCGGCGGCGACTACTTGTACATTCTGGACCGGGAGACTCAGGACATTGTCAAGCGCATCCTGGATCAGCAGTCCGACGAGGGCGGAGACGAGATCGTGGTGCCCAAGGGCTCCGGCAGTGGCGATGAAACCCTCAGCATCGAGCTTCCCGCCGGGAAAAAGGTGGGGTTGCCGCAATTACAGCGCCTTCGTAGAGCGTACATGGGACTGAACCGAGGTGGTATTGGACTGGAGACGGTGGGAAATCTCTCGGGGCCGAGTCGCATTAGGGAAAGCTTTGTCAGGTATCTCAACGACTCTTTTGAGGCTGATGGATAGGCGTCGCACTGGTAGATATGGTAGACGATTTATAGACGTTTTGATACCCCATTTTAAGAAGACGACCATTTACAACTGAGATATTGTCTTTGAAGCTTTATCTTTGCAATCTCGACAAGATACTAGCTCGGTATAATGTTGGCGTCCTTGAGTGTGTCTATTGCCTGCATACATGATTCGTACTGAGGACCATGACATCATTGTCAACTTTTATGATGATTAATTTGATTTATCCGTCTCTAGGTATATACGTCTTCACACCGTCTATAAACCTTTGAAGGTCTCTAATATATATATACATGTCTAATGCCAATGGCAGTCCGATTAATGCCCATCAGCACCGGGGGCTCTCTCCGCTCGCTCGCTCATTTCATATTGATTGCTGCCGCGATTTCTGCTTCCCAACAACTTGCTGCGACTTTGTCGATTCTCAACCTTTGTGACTTTGTTCAGTGTCAGCCCAAAGCCCTCCAAGATGGCAATGGCAATCATCTCCATCACGACGGCCATGCCGATTTGAATGCTAATGTCTCCGGTGCTAATGAATGGGCTTGTGTGTTAGCCCTTCAATTTTATCCTCAAAGAAAACATGCAAAATAAAGAAATGCCAGAGATTTGTAGTACTTACAGCTGGTTAAATTTGGGGTTCCCCGAGTACATGGTCGCGGCAGCGTATGCCAGGCGGACCAGGACAAAAGGCAGAGATAAGCCGACGGCGAGGGCCAGACGCTTCTCGCCCAGCTCGGCGTGGGAGATTTGCAGAAACACCTGGACTGCGGCCAGGACGGTCAAGACAAAGCCAGCAATCATGAGCCCGAGGCCGACCTTGGACAGGGAGGGCATGGTGTAGACGCCCGTGTCGGCATAGTTGCTCCCGGCTTGGCTGCCGCCGACCGAGGTCAGGATCAGGCCGACCAGGACCACGAGCTGGACCAGCCGAATCATTCTCTCATTGACCGTGGTCTTGACCGACTTGCGGATGCTCGTCAGGGCGCGGCTGAGCAGGCCCAGCTCGACGAGGATCAGGGGAGACAGGCCGACGCTCGAGAGCACGGCGGACCCAATGTAGAGGCTGATGTTGTCGGGCTGCGATATCGTGGCCAGCTGCATCGATGGCCCAATGATGCGTGCCAGAGAAAAGATTATGAGGTAGAGCCATCCGGAGCTGCGGCCAAACCCGTGGCGTATGCACAAGAATATGGCGACGAAAAGGGCTGGTACATAAATGGCAATCTCAGCAATGGAGACTTTGTTACTCTCTGTCAAGGTCATGGCGGGAAGTTGAAGTTTAAAGTGGATGACTGAAACAGATGTATGAAAATCGCAAACAGGTAGTTGTTGATATGGTTGTAAGTGATACAGTTATAGTGTGTATATGTCGACTCGGAAAAGTAGAGGGCGCGATGTGTGTGTAAGTGCTATAGGAGATCTTGGCTGTCTTGGCTTTTTCGATTTATACCAAAGTCAAGAGCACTTGGCATTGGTCTTTATATTCTTTTTTGTTTTGCTTTCATCTTGAGTTCTTCGTGACCATATTCCAATTGCCAATATTGCGTAGTGAGGCACAGCAAAGGAAACGGCTCCCTCTGGTGTGTCTCGCTATAGGCGACAATGTTCCTAAGCGAGTGCGAGAGTCCTAAGGACCCAACGCGCTAGGCCTCAAGTTTGCTGCCTCAGCCACATTTTTGGCACCACAGATTTGGCTACTGCCTATACTTAGCGCCCAGCTATACAGCAGGAAAGGGACGCCGTCGTTGGCTCAAGTATGTCAAGAGCGAAGGATGATGATGATGATGACTGATTAGGGCCAAGTCGGTTCTCCCATTCGAGGTTAAGATGGCTGACTACTCTAACCGGGCTCATGTAGTTATTCCCGTTCGCGAACTGGCGAACCATCGAATCAGAACAATGCCGGGGGGTTTCCCTGACGCGTTCTCTCAGCTGTAGAACCATTCGTCTCACGCACCAGACCGCCATATTGTCAGCGAGCACATTGTGCTATCAATTTCAACAGCAACGTCAGGTTCTTCCTCCTGCTGCTGGAGCAGAGCACAAATGTGCGCAATGCTAGATCATTAGTGACCATGAAAGAAAATGGATAAGATGGATTGTATTTCCTTGGCAGCTCCCTATTCGCTAATTATTACCCTTCCTTTCCTTCTCTACCTGACCTAATGGGGTCACCCGGCCGATTTGAGGGCCAATGGGCATGCTGACTGGATTTGTTGGGTTTCACTGCTAAGCTCTTTGAGATATACAGTTCAATGTTCAACAATCAAAGATGCAAAGTCTTTCGAGTAAACTCTTGTCCTCCTATGACTTGAGGGGTATACCGAAACAATTCGTGAATTATTGCGCCATCCTTTCATGCCCGTTAGAAAAGCCAAGCAAAGGCTTTCAAAGGACATGATGGCGCTTCCTTCATCAGATGCCTATACATTGACATTTTACGGCGCTTAGAACGGGTTCCCCAAGAGTGTAAATATGCCTCAAAATACACCAAAGGAGCAAAAGACAAGAAAAAAAAGAAGAAGACTTCCCAAGGTCGCAAAAGTCAAGGTTGCTATTACGGCATCACGACAAAATAGTATGCTGATACTGCGAGGCCGCTTGGCCGCCTTCTTGGCCACTTCTTGGGTTGCAATTTTCTCAAGTATTTGACGCGTCACCTAGCGGAACCTCTGCCCGGTCGATCTCTCAATAGTATCTTGGCTTGGCTTGGGGCTCTGCTCATATGCCGGCCAAGGATCAAGGGGGTCGAAAGGGCTGAAGATCTGCAAAACAAGAAAAGTTCCTGCTGATAGATAATGTAGCGCAGGGACCCCTTGGGGGGGGGGGGATTACCATCAAGGGACCGTGGCTAATGCAGTGGGCCAGAGGCAGGCACCTAACCTACTATAGTACCTAAAAGCCTACCTTAACCAGACCTGCATCATGTGTTCAAGCCCTATCATGGCGTAGTCTACTTTAGAGGCTAAATAATACCCCTAGGGATGTAGACAAGCAAGCATGATAGGTGAAGGAAAGCCAAAGCGAGTGCGAGGAATCTCTTCAAGATCTATGTAGCTAACCGCGCTAGACAAGCTGAGCTGAAAAGCTTGATTCAACATTTGACTCCAAGGTTAGGTAGGTTAGTATAGTCAGTTTATCTACTTGGAAGAAGCACAGCCTGCCTCACATCTCAGTCTAGTGTAAAGAACCACATGCTTCTTTGTCTCTTCTTCTTCTTCTTCTTCTTCTTCTTCGTCATCAATGCTTTTCAAAATCTTCGAGAGAAAATCTCGGAAATGCCGCGCCAACTCCTGTACTTTGTATGACCAAGATCTTCTGCTCTCCCTGACTAACCCTGACTAAACCACATGCAGCTGTCCAAGGGCTCATAATCTTGCATATATATGTCATCCAGGTCCACCCAAAGCCAAAGAGGATCGTCAACCCAACATTCATACCCAAGAGCCATGGCACTCAATCCGAGACCGGCGCCCAGACCCGAGCAAGGAGCCCAGTTGCGACAGTGCAATCTGATAATCCCTCCGAGCAAGATCAAGATCCGCTGCTTGGCAGTCAGGGCAGGCCATTGACAAAGGTGTGAGCACTGCACGGGGGCTGCAGCTTACTCACGAGGCGACGTCCCACTGCGTCTAAGTTACTGCTGAATTCGTGCCAGTGATCCGCGTTGTGCCCCCCAGGGGGCCACGCACGCCTTTTGATAAGGGGATTGCAAGGGTTATGGAGAAGACAGAAAGAAAAAAGACAGAATACACAGTAAAGGAAACAAACAAGGCTCCCCATTGACCCGCGAGATTTGCTTCTAAACCCGCTTCGCCAATGGCCGGGCCCGTGGTCTCCATTTATACTACTTGCGCCAACCCACTTGCCTATACAGGACAAAACATCGGACGACATCCCCGTCAACTGCCGAACTGTGCCAAGACAAATGCAACGGCGGGTGGCTTTCGAGAAGGAGTCCTTCTACCTTGGGTTATATCAGCTCTTAGTACCAAGGGCTTAGGTCACGCAAGTACGTTGCGCCCAAATGCCCGGGCATCGTGACAAAAAAACACTCGCCAAATCTGGCAATGAGGTGCTTTGTCCGGCAGATGAAAAATGGAGTTGCATGGTCTATTCGCCATTGATGCGCTTTGTTGAGAGCATATCGACAAACCAGAAACCAACTCCCTTGCCGATCCGGAAAGACGTGCAGAGGAAAATGGCCCGATGCTATCAATTCTCCGTCAGGTCCCTCTCGGCTACAAAGAGCCTGGGGTTTCCCTCCCTACATTTCCGGGGAATGATGATGTTGATGCTGCAGCTTCACTCGTTCCCCAACTCTAAACATGCTTCCGATCACTGCCTCGTGGCTTCTTGCCATCTCTGCTGCCGGTCTGGCCTCTGCCACCAAGAAGAGTGCCGGCTGTGGCTCCGATAACGAGATTCCTGACCTCGGAGAACGTATCACGTACGATCTCAAGGCCAACGAGAGTCGTTCATACAGTAAGTGTATCTTGAGTTGGAGAACCACTATACTACGTTGGCTTGATAGCGGTGCTGCACATACCAAGACATGGCTCCATGGCATGTGTACCAGAGAGACAACCTGCTAACCACAAGAGTCTAATAGTGTTTTGGCTGCCCGAGCAGTACGATGGAGAGACACCGCTTCCCGTCATCATCTCGTACCATGGCGTGAGGCAGTCGCCAGCCAAGGAAGCAAACCTCGACTGGTTCACCGACCCGGCCTATAACACGGGCCAGATTGTCGTTTACCCCCAGGCCGTGGAGGCGCCAGGCACCAACGAGGTCATGTGGCAAGGTCCCAAGCAGGCCACCCAGGACGACGTGACCTTTACCCTGCAGATTCTCGACGAGATGGAGGAGCTCTTTTGCATCGACACGGACCGCGTCTACGCGAGCGGCAAGTCCGAGGGCGCGGGCTTTGTTGGCATCCTGGCCTGCAACTCGACGTCGAACCAGCGGTTCGCCGCCTACGCCCCCGTCTCGGGCGCCTTTTACCCGGGCAACAATGACGAGTCGACCAAGGGCTGTGAGAAGGAGGTGCCCATCCCTTGCGACCCGCAGCGCTGCAACATCCCCTTCCTCGAGTTCCACGGCGAGGCCGACTTCCTCGCCCCCTACGACGGTGGTCTGCAGCGCCACGAGTGCCTGCCCAACATCCCCGACTACATGCAGGAGTGGGCGGACCGCAACGAGCTGCCCAGCGAGCCCGTCGAGACCTACAACCTCACCGACGTCGCCGTCGTCTACAAGTGGAGAGAGGACGGCTTGGTCACCCACGTCTACGACGGCCCCAAGGTTGGACACGACTGGCCGTGGACCGTCGAGAACCCCGATACCGTCCGCGCCCACAGCAAGCCCTGCACTTTCAACGCCACAAGTTACATCTTTGAGTGGTTCGCCAACTTTACCCTCTCGTAAGTCTTCCTCTTTTTCTTTTTTTTTTGTGTTCCTGGTCCATCTTTTCACCCGATAATTAACATGGTCTGTCCTAGGGATTCGACTGGTTGCAGTAACAGCACCGATGAGGACTAACTATTGACGAGCTATGATATTATAGCCTGGTAGATATTTGGGTTCGATGTTTCAACAAGAAGGCATGTAGAAGTCGTACTTGGCATGACGCAGCGTCTGTAGATTGTTTGTAGCGTAGATATAGGTACACCGTATATATATGGGAAGTGATACTAGGCCGTAATGAGTTTTTGAGCCATGAATTCACTGCATAGCTTACATCCAAAAACGCGCTGGTATGGAACTGGTCCACCAATATGATTGACGTGAACTTCAAGTATGTTTATGCACATATCAAGTAAGCAGAGCTTGGGGTATCCCGACGTTGTTGTCTCGAGCCGTAGCCGGAGGGCGTCCGCTTTGTATCAAAATATGGTGGAGTATCTCGAGCCGGGATGTCTTGTCTCACCGTGAGACTTGCCGTGGTCATTTTGATGGACCAGACTTGTCATTCTGTTATTTCTCGCGGCATTTCGAACAGGTGCAGGCCGACTGGCAGGTATCGATGGCGGTCGACATCTTGATGTTATCAAGCAAGTCGCGAGCCTCGTCAAGCCAGGTGGATCTTCTCACCAAGCGTCGAAATTTCCAAAGCCTCCGCTCTTCGCCTTCTTCCGCACAGGCTCGTCCCACGTATCTGGCACGTCTTCTTCCACGATTTCGTCCTCGACAACTTTCCCAGTGCCAGATTGACGTTTCAGGGCATCTTGCAAGTATTTGCCCACATTGCCTGCGCTGTTTGCCTGATCAACTGTGCCGTCCTGCCTTAGTCGCTTGCCTGTCCAGGTGGTCTTGTCATCTTCAGTTCCACCTTGCAACGCAATATTTTTCCTTTCCTCTTCTTTACGTTCTCGATCGTTCTTGGCCTTTTGAAACTCCTCGAATGGATCCAGATATACTACAATGTCTTTGATGACAATTTTGTTCAATGGACGGTCACTGCCATCCGTGGGTACATCCTCCATCTTCTTGAGTACATCCAATCCGCCAACAACCTTGCCAAATATCGTATGTTTTTGATCAAGGTGCTTGACAGGTCGATAGGTGATGAAAAACTGACTAGAGTTGGTGTTCTTGCCCTTGTTTGCCATGCTCAGCATACCGCGTGAATCATGCGTCAAAGGTCCTTGAAACTCGTCGGCAAAGTTTTTCTTCCAAATGCTCTCTCCGCCGCGGCCTGTGCCCGTTGGATCTCCACCTTGTATCATAAAGTTCCGTATATTCCGGTGGAAGGAAATGCCTCTGTAATATCCAGTTTGCGCAAGACGGACAAAATTCCACACGGCTTTTGGTGCATATTCGGGATGGAGTTCGATATTCAGATCGCCAAGGTTGGTCTCCATCCGTGCGTAACCCTTGTGTTTTATCCGCTTTGGCTTAAGCATATATTCTTCCTCAGTCATTATAGCTCGCTCGCCGCTCGTTTCCGGAGTGAGACCAGTCGAGGTGAAGGAGGCGGCAGCACGCCCAGTTGTGTATACAGCCGAATTGTCTGCGCGCTTCTTGTCCTGGATCATAGATTGTCGGGGCACATTGGTGCCGGTGGCTTTTGCAAGTGCTTTAGAGCGATTGACGTCGCCTCCTGCCTCTCGTTCCCGCCGCGCCTTCTCAACAGCCTCTTTTGCCCGGAGGACCTTGTCGCCGACTCTTCCTAGCGCGCTGATGTTGACGTTGCCCTCTTTCCTCTCTTCCTCTTGCTGTTTCGTCAGCAAGGCGTCCTCGCCGTCCTTGAGATACTTGAATTGGCTCAAATCCCGACTCGCCGCGTTCTGGGGATCCTGCAAGGTAATGATATCTGAGCGACCAAACTCCTTGTCGTCAACCAGGTCTCTCCACATCTTGGCCTTGATGTTCATGCGATCGACAGTTTCCCAAGCGAAAACGTTGGCATAAGTTCCGTGCCGAATGGCAACAATGTGAGTGTTGTCGGTGAAGACCTTGAATGTGACAGGATCAATCAGGTCGCCTTGAGCATCGCCATCCGTGCGGCTCGCATCGAAGTCACCGTTTCGCGCAAAGTTGAGCTTGAAAAGATCTTTGAGCTGCAGAGGCTTGCCGTCGACGGGGTTTGTGTCGTGCGAGTCGAGCCATTTCGAAATGACCTCGAGGTCAAATATTGTTCCATCAGCCGTGCAGACTGGGTTCTTGAAGGGCTGAAGAGAGGCGGCACAAAAGTTGAAAGGCAGACGCTTGAAAGAACCAGCACCGGCGCGAGCTTGCGCGCCCGTTGATGCAGAGAAACCGTCCGACGACGACCACTCCGAATGGGTGATGTACAGCTTGTCCGTGCCTTTACCCATGTTCGCTGTGTATGGGGTAGACGAGAGAGAGAAAGAAAAGTCACAGCAAACGAAATGTATGGCTTTCTTAAAGCTCTACAGGTATGTTGGTTAGGTCGTTAGCTGCATCAGCAATACTAGGTACTTTGATGATGAAAGTAGCTGCTTATCTTATCGCTACCTGCTCTCATTTAGGTGGCAGGGAATTGGACCTCTGAGGGAGAACAAGACCCCCAAGTTTTGCGTGGCCCATGTACGTTAGCGCGTGGTTTTAGCGCAGGCCAGAGCTGTTTCGGGCGCTAGCCAGGCCAGCTTGCGTATGGCGATCCGCTACGGAACGAACGTCAAGGGGTAAAAGGTCGCTGGTCTGAAATGTTTCCAAAGTGTAGGCCAAGCGCAACAGCGTGCCTTGGCTCTGAGCTGTCCATTTCCCACAGCCTCGAAGCTTTCCAATTCCTTCAGCACCTCCTTCTCATGTGAACAACAAGATTCTCTCTCGAGGCGCGGCCAGCATTATATCACCCATCAGCTGCGCAACACATTAGTTGCGACAGCTCAGATTTCCCCAGACCCCGAGGCAAAGAGCAAGCGCTAGTACAGCGGGCAGTGGACAGATTTACAAGGCCCAGGCTGAGGCTGCCAGTCCGGTTGCAGCACGACTGACGATTTGAGAGCGACGAGGAACAAACGAGGCCAACGCACAGCGCCATCATGAAGTGGTGGACCTCTTCTCTGCTCCTGCTGAGCTCGTCCCTGTGGGCGGCTCATGCATTGGAGGTTCAATTAGTGAGTGACGTCCCGGCTGCCCGGCTGGACGGCCATCGCAGCCCACATATGATGAAGAGCTAACAATCATTCAGGACCAAACGGCGGAAGGTCGACAAAAGTGCAATGGTTTGTCGCGTCTCACCTCCTTCTAGGAGTTCTCTAACAACGAGCTTCAGGAATGTACAGCAAGCAAGCTTGGGGCGGCCCCGAAGACCCATTCATCTCCATCGTGTTCCCAAAGACCGACATCCCCGATAACCAAGATCCTATTGTATCTGTCGTGGTATTCGAATGGAAAGACCAGTCTCTCGTCGGCAAACAGGTAGACCCGAATTCCTATGAGCGAGAGCTCATTTGTACCAACGATGCCGTTACCATGGGCTATTGCGATGAATCGGATCTGGGCGAGTTCATTCTCGCGCCTAATGCAACCGAGCAGAGCAACAACTTGGTACTTACCCAGGCGATGCATCTGAAGAGCTCTGCCCCGATCAAGTACATGATCAAAAAGACTGGCTACTACTGTGTGGGTGCCAAGGGTTTCAACACTGAAGAGTTCATGGGAATCATTGAGTTCCGCGAGGCATACGGCGAGTTGCCTGCAACTCAGATTCCAAAGCTCCCATTCTACGGTGGTATCACTATTCTGTACGCGGTGGTGGTTGTCTTTTGGGGCTTCCTATACTACCAGCATCGATATGATATACGTAAGTGATTGGCTGTGCTGCTTGGTGTAGGCAATGAGACTGACTCTAATCTAGTTCCTGTTCAGAACTATATCACCGCAATCCTGGTATTTTTGGTTGTCGAAATGTTGATGACGTGGGGTTTCTATGGTAGGCACCTCCTCAGAGGGACTCTTGGTATTAGATACTGATATCCTGCAGACTATTTGAACAGCAATGGCTCCAACGTTGGCGCCCGCGTCTTGCTGATTATCGTTGCCGTCCTGAACGCCTTCCGCAACTCGTTCTCGTTCTTTCTGCTCTTGATCGTGTGCATGGGCTACGGAGTGGTCAAGCCTTCGCTCGGAAAAACCATGACCTATGTCCGTTATTTGGCAATCGCCCACTTCATCTTCGGACTGGTATATGCGATTACCAGTCTCCTGGTTTCTCCTGACACTGCCAGTAAGTCCCTTCTCTCCACGCAAACCTGCTAGATGATATACTGAGATGAGCTAGGCCCATTCGTTCTCCTCATTGTACTCCCTCTGGCCGGTACCTTGACTGCCTTTTATGTTTGGACCTTGAACTCCCTGAACTTCACGCTTAAGGATCTCCGTGAACGCAAGCAGACCGTGAAAGAAGCCATGTATAAGAAGCTCTGGTGGTGCATCTTGATTTCGATCATGGTGATCTTTGGCTTCTTCTTTTTCAACTCGTTTTCTTTCGCGTCCGCAACGGACCCGGACTATGTGCCTTTCCACTGGAAGTCACGCTGGTTCATTCTCGACGGCTGGCTCAACCTGGTCTACTTTGCTGACGTTGCCTGGGTGGCGTACGTGTGGCGCCCAACCGCAAACAACAGACGTTTTGCCATGAGTGACGAGATTGCCCAAGACGAAGACGGCGGCTTTGAGTTTGCAGATGTCGGCAACCCAGATGACTCTGACGATGATGAAGAGGCTATTATTGGAACAAAGCCTCCTGCTCCGCGACAACCGATCTCGTCTTCGTATGCCCAGCCGTCGAGTACCCAACAACGGGAGGGCAATGCGAGAGCCGAAAGCCCAAGAGACTCGTTCGATGATGGTGAGACGATATTCGCAGTCGGTGAAGACGGCGACAAGTTTAGTGATGACGAGGACGATGAGGAGAGATCGAAATTGGTGCCAGGAAAGAAGTAAGGATCTTGATTGACGGCGCGCGAATAGCACTCCAAGTAACCGAGGAGGGATCACAATCTTTGAGTGTATAATAGCAAAATGCTTGGGGATAAATAATGGCGTTGGTGGACACTATAGCATCATTTGCATCAGCCGGGTCAGAGTGGTTATTGTGTATTTCAGTCATGAAATCACTGATTTGGCCAAATGCTTGTCGTACTTGTCCCTCGAGCATTGTAGAACGGAGGCTGCATTGGGCGATTTTTTTTTTTCATTGAATCTCCATATTGAATCTCCATACCTAGATGAATATGCTCATGTTCCCTTTCTGCATAGTTTCAGGCCATTCTTCCGTACGGAAGGCCCTTCTGCCCCCTCTCTGATCCCATACAGGCGCATCACCTCTGCTTGATCACCCTGACGTTCCTGTGCGCCTTTGAGGAGGCGGACTGCCAGCTCGGTGCTTTAGGGCCTCGTCTTGGGGTCTTATCTACCAGTGAGAGACCTACTTAAGGAAAACAGAGAGAGAAAAAAAGACAGAGAGAGAGAGAGAGAAGAAAGAGAAAAAAGAGAGAGAAAAAGAGAGAAAAGAGAGGGTGTTACCGACCACGTTGACCAGACATTGGTGACGGTGCTTGCCAACATGAGATATCCTAATATATAAACTCTATTTTTCACGATCAATAGACTCCCCTCTTCTTCATTTTTTGTAGATGCGTGCCATCTGCCATGTAGACCAGCAGCTTATACTTTAGGATTTGCGGAAATGTTAACCATTCTGACCCTGCACCAAGCCCCGAAGGCAGTATTGTGGAAATAGCATGCCAATAGTGGAACGTACGACAAGTGTTGACACTCAAGGTTCATGATGCTGCAGATAAGAAATAACTCGATGCCATTCATCCGTCTATAGGGGTATGGTCATTCAATCTAAATATGCTTACATATGCTTCATTCATATCCTGGCTTGCGAGCAAAAGAAAAAGTGGAAAACCAAACAATCCAGACCAATGTGACAACTTCCGGTATACCCAATAGAAGGAAAAGAATATGCATCTATCCAAGTCATGATTGCCATGCTGCAAACTTGTAAATCGCTCACTCATGAAAAATAAAAAGAATATGCCTTCGTTACGACAACAAGCACTCAGTCAGATCGGCAACCTCGTTGTCAATCTGGTGAGCCAAAGCTTCCAGGTCCGGAAGAGTCAACAACACCTCGTTCGCGCTGAGCCGAATCTCCAGAACACCTCCTCCAACTTCCTCCAGGTCGCAGCCAACATCTACAAAGACGTTGTGTTTTCTCATAACCGAACTAGCGTCAAGAACGTCAACAGTCGTGGGGCCGGGGATGGCGGCGGCGGCACTGTATTCAGTGCGCATACCCAGGTCCATTCGCTCCCAAGGTTGGTTGTCATCGACTGGTGGCGTGGTGGCTGGCGATGCTCCCTGTGATGCGCCTCGAAGTTTGGTGTTCCACAAGATGTTCAAGTACGTGTTGAACGGAACGCTCTCGCCAACCTCGGCCCAGCGTAGCACATCGCGAAGGCGAGATTGTTCATAAGGCACCTGGGCATTTAGGTGCTCGTGAACCGACTGAAGTGATTGAATCAGCTCAGACCTGCTGCCGTTGAGCTCATGGGACACATCGACATCTTCTGGAATGGTGGTCGGCAGCATGGTGGAACAGGGGCCAACAAGATCTTCAATCCTATCAACATTGTCAAGAGATTGCCGGCCACCATGGAAACATCCAAAAACAGGACGCTTTGCGCCAGTCTTTTCGGCCAGGATGTGACTGAAGGCAAGATAGATGACGGTAGGCGGCGTTACGCCAGCGATGGTGGCTGCTGTCTCGAGCTCAGAAGTCTTGGTCTTGGTTCCGGTAACCACAATCTCGTTCTTCTTGAGAGGGTTGCCTTCGCCATCGGTTTCTGGCTTCACAATGGTCTCTTCGCAATCCCGTAGACTATCCTTCCAGAACTCCTCCTCAGCATCTCGGTCGTGAGTGAATAGAGTCTCCTTGACAAAGTTCCTGAAAGACGGTGCTTTGGATACAACCGGCTTGCCCTGGTACAGCTCTGTGAGCTCATGAACCAAGAGGCCCATGCTGCGCGTGTCACAGGCCGCATGGTGGATTGTAATCAAGACGGCATCGCCCTCCTGTACATCGCCTTGTACAAGGGTCAGCCTCGTGGGCGGCGTCTTGAGGGAAGACGGTTGGTTTGCAATCTTCTTGAGTTCCTTCTTGACTTGCTCCTCGAGCGTGCCCTCGCGGTGCTTGGCCTTTGAGAAAGTGGCGTAGTTGCTAGCACCACTACTTTGGCGCAGCACCACAGTAAAGGCCTCGTCTGGTCGCACGGCCACTAGCGTGGAGCGCATAATGGGGTGGCGACGACGAAGCACCGCCCACGCACCGCGTAGCCGATGCTCATCGACAGGAACCTTGGTGCGGAAAGCCCACGTAGGCTCGGCCAGGGTACGGCCGCTGGTGAGCCAGCTCGCGAGATGGAACTCCTGGCCCGGCAAGACGGGCATGACGGCCTCGACCGAAGTGTCGTGAATGCCCAGCTTGGCAATGGCTTGTTGTCGGTCTTCCATACTCACGAGGTTCTCGACCGACGATGTGGGCTGGCGCTCCAGCATGCTCGGACGAGCAGTGGGATCGTGTGCGTGGATCACCTCATACAGTGGCGTGGTGGGATTGCTACTGCCAAAGGGCGTTGCGCTGCCATTTTGCATGGGTGTGAAGGGGTGCTGGGAGGTGCCATTCGCGGCATCTGTCTTGCTTATGGATCTGGATGGCAGACGAACAAGAAAGCTCTCCCGGTGCTGGCGATCGCCATTGGGAGCACCGGCTGGGGGCTGTACATCATGGCTCACTTGTGCTGCCATTTTGGTAGTGGGTTTATGTTTTCAGGTTGTTATAGTTGTAGAAATGGGAATGTTAGGTGCGGATTCGACGACAGGGAGCCAGGACGTTGCCCACTCTGAAGGCATTCAATGATTTTGTTGTGTCTTGGACTGTTGTGTGTTCTTTCTGCTCTCTCAAGTAAACGGCTCAACTCTGGTCCTGCCAAAGGGGGTGGTGAGATCGACTGGTTGTTGTGTGGAGTTTTTCTTTGGTTTCCCTCAAGGGAGAAGAAGTTTGAATCTGGAACAACAGAAGAGATGGGAAGAGGGAGGAAGAAGTAGTAGTAGGAAAAGAAGAAAAGGACCCTTTCATAACCTCGGGAATGAATGGGCTGGAGATGGAGGAGCCTGACGAAATATTGGCGTTTGTTTCCGATGTGCGAGTGGTTCTTTTTTTTTTCTTCCTTTCTTCCTTGTGCTGCTCTTCTTGCGCTTTCTCTGCCTTGCCTCCGGTAGTGTATGTACAGTACCTCTTACCTAGACTACCAGGCTACTTACCACCACTGAACTGTGACGACGGACCAGTGATGAGATGAGGCCCAAAGTAGCGTAGCGCCCATGACGTATGGGTGGACTATAAAGTGGATTCGGTGGGCTGGTGCCCATAAGTGAGAATTGGTGGTGCCACTACTCTAGCTTTGATGCACTGAATCGTGCGTGGATGCCCTCGAAACGCAAGCGGCCAATCGAGATCAAGGGTCTCTCTGCTAGGCTTGTCAGGGCTCTTTTGGTGGTGGGCATGGGTGGGAGGTGCCGGTCGCCTTGGGGGTGCAGCACCAATGACACTTCAAAACGCCCGCTGACGCCTCACCCGCCCGCCAAACCGTCTGATGGAAACGCCCCGAGTCCTGACTGGAAAGACGCTGTGAAGGGAAGAGACCTGACTCTTGAATCTTGACTTGAGTTTGACTTGCAGGCTTCTGGCTGTGTTCTACGGTATGTTATGTTCCCATGGGAACAAGAACCATGATTCCGTCATAACCACGACCCCCAATTTTCTTGCACATTCTCTACATCACACACCAGGACACACACACAATTTCTCTCTCTCTGTGCTGATGGGTGCCAAGACGCCCTATTATCTCGTCTTGTCTACCGTCTCCGAATCCCGTCTCCACGTCCATGATCCTTTTCAGGGTCTCACCTGAAGTGCACGCAGCAGCAGCCGCAGCAAGGGAAAGTGGTTAAAAAGGCGCCAGTCAATAATACGCCAGTCCATTTCAGCATTGAGCACATACACCGGTAAACATCTCGGTTCGAACGCTTCCCTCCGCAATTTGCCGAGTGGGACCCCTCTTGCCTTGCATTGACCTACCGCTCCGTACGATGGGTGAATAGGAATGGGGGTGGAGAAAACGGATGCGCATGTATGTAACGTATGGTGAAAGTCGCGACATTGCTGATTCCTAGTGGCTCAAAGATGGGCATCTTTTGATTAAGTCCGCATTAGCATTCTGTCCCTGTTTGATATTTTTGGTTTACCATGTATATCTGCTGCAAGAATGGGAAATATGGTCAGACATTTCCCGCGCGAGGCGCCGCGTAATAACTTTCTTTCATTTGTCGTCGTTTTTTTTTCGGGGTCCTGTTGTTTATTTGGAGAAATACTGACCCCTCATTCAGCCTCGACGCGGCTCTGCTGTCCCTCGGTCTTGTCCCGTGAAAGCCAAGAAGCTTATTGGAACAGAGACAAGAATCCAAACTACTTTGACTTGCCTACCAACCAACAGCTGACCGTAATTCAAACATCTATTCGACCACGAGTAGTAGTATACTATAATCTGTAGATCAGCCCTAGGTCCCTTCTGTACTAGATGTGTTGATCCCAACTTGTCCGTCAAAGAATTATTGCATCACTGAGCATTGTGAGGCCTCACACACCCTTTAGAGACAGGCAGAGAAAAAATGTCCCGTTATCTTTTGTATCACACTACGGAAGAAAATCTACGGAAAGTTGCCGTGTGACTAGGTATCTCACGAAACATCCTAGTCGTTCTTCGCTTATGATCCATGTTCACTCAGCTGTCTTGCAAGTCCTAACGAGAAATGATCAACACAGCCAAGAGAAATTGAGAGTAATATTCGACGCCTTAGAATCATTCTTTTCTTAAAGTCCTGCTCTTTTTGGAGCAGGACACATTGCAAACAGAATGAGATCGCTGGGCTGAAGGTAAATGAAATCGATATGCGACAAAAAAAAAAGGGAGCAGGTACATGGGCAGATCTGTAGTGAACTTGCAGCCTGTCTCGGGGTATCTCCGTTTCCCGTCTATATCCCGCCTCTATTATTCTTCTCCTGTAGATAAAAAGAAAAGGAAAGAAAAAAAAAAACTCCGTATAAACAAATTGGCAGAAATCACATGCCAATTGCAGTAGGGAATGTAGAAAGTTCTCCACGCCGCTCTATATGATTACGCCTCGACTTCAGCAATAGCAGGGACTGCTGCTTGAGTTCCTTGACTGCCGTGGTATTTGTACTTGACTTCGTGCTTCGGCAGGTTATGCTCCGGCAGCCAGGCCAACACGGGGGCATCGCGGAAGATGGGCGCGAGCACATATTTTATGCCCAGTTTCACTATGGGCTTGTGCTTCACGATCCACGTCGCGTAGATACGGTACTTCCAGCTGGTCCAGGTGACCTGGCGCGCTCTCCGGCGGCACATTTTGTCAACAGTCGGCATGAGCTGGAGCCTCTCGCGCTCGTAATCCTGAAACGCCCTCTCAAGCTCCGCCGTCGTCGGGCCAGCTGCTGAGGAATCCTCCTCCTCCTTCTTGTTCAGGAGCGCGTACAGCTTATTGGCAAGAGTGACGATGTCCGCCAGGCCCGAATTGAAGCCGGCGCCGGCGTGCGGCTCAACTTTTCGTACCGCATCGCCGACGAGCACGACGCGGCCACACGTCCACGATGGCACGCTGCCCTCCTCTAGGCTAATCATTCCAATGTCGCCCGAGTTGTATTCGAGCACTTGCTTCAACGTGATGCCGGGCGCCATGTAGGCATCGCCGTACTTTTCGATAAAGGCCTGCTTGTCCTCCTCCGTATACCGCTTGCGCTCGTGCGTCGGCGTCGGGATTTGCTCGTAGACGGCCCACCACGACTGCGTCGTGCCCGTCAAGATCTGCGTCGACAGCCCGTTGGACGCGCCCTCGTGGTTGGTGCCCATGGGCAGGTCCGGGATGGCGCCGCCGGGGACGTTGCCGAACAGCATGCGAAAGGTACCCAGGTAAGGGCTCTTCTCCTTGTCGTCGCTGGCGGCGCCCTTTTCAGGTGCCGCATTGGCCCCGTCCTCCTCGCTGCTCCCGCTCTCGCCGCCCGCGTTGGCACTCTGGGCTTTGGCCTTGAGGCGCTGCATGCAGGTCCTCACCCTCGAGCGCACTCCGTCGGCGCCAATCAGGATGTCGCCCGCTACCACGGTGCCATCCTCGCAAATGACCTTGACGCCATCTGCCTCGGTCTCCACGTCGACGACGCGCTTGTTGAGCAGCACGCGGCCCTTGGTCTCCTCGCTCAGCGTCTCATAGAGGGTCTCGGCAAACTTGGGCCGATGGCAGACGCGGAACCCGTGACCATGTCTGCGCTCCATCAAGGGGCCCAGCTCGGTCAGTCGGTTGATGATCTTGCCCGTGTCGGCGCGGAAGTTGACCGTGGTGACGGTCTCGTCGAGCACGGGCTTCAGGGCCGACGTTAACCCAAGCTGATCGTAGACCCGAAAGGTAGAGGGCCATAGCGCCAGGAGGGAGCCAATGTACGGTGTAATAGTCGAATGCGATTCCAATATAGTGAATTGGATGTCACGGGAACCGGCTAGTGCCGTGCGGAGAGTTTGGAAGATGTGCGCGGCATTGAGCCCGACTAGTCCACCGCCGGCAACAATGATGTGGAAAGGTTTCTTTTCTTCCAACATATTTGCGTTAGGAAAAAAAAAAAGGAGAGAATGAGGAAAAGGGGGTATCAAATTCCCTAAGCAAAATAGAGAAGAAAAAGAAAGCGTCTGCGAAACAATGCCTAAAATCGACAGTCAAAAGCAATACGCAAAATTATATAGATATATGTAGATAGATTTGGTGGAATCAAAACGAATGTACACCAAGAAAACAGAAATCTACAACATCTGCGGGTAACGAAACCACGTCGCCAGCAGAAATTCCAGGATTTCGCGATACTAATAGCAGCTCGGTCGGTGGGGTTTTGCCCACGAACATTTGGGAGTTGACCCTTGGTAAGATTCAGCGCTGAACAAGGAGGGTCCTTGGCCTCACTATCACAATACGCCCCTCTCAACAGACATAGGGGATAGACTTTGGCGCAATTTCACACGACGGCCTCGCGGAAGAGTATTGACTCCGAGCGTGTTGAAGCCGAACGACTCGGAACCCCTGCCGAGAAATGATGGTCCCAAAGGGTGAAAGTATATGTTGGCCAACGCTCAAAGAACCGGCTTGGCGCAGGAGACGGTCCCACGCCCGTACGAGATTCAGATTAGATTGATATGCAGACGTACTGCCGATCGACATTAACATCTTCACCACCATTCATGTAGGCGCGTCGTTTTTTTTTTTTTTTACAGACAGTAAACACTAGTAGTCACCCTGCCAGTTTACATGTTTACACAGTAAATACTCGTGGGGCGAGTATTGAACTTTCTGATTTCATGCCAAGATATAATTACACATGGTGCCCTCCAAATCCGATTGCGCCAAGTCGGCTCGGAAGGAGCACAAATTTTCAATTCGCCTATTCATGAATTGTCAAACCCGGCCCCAACACCAATGAAGCCGTAAATTTCGTACACGTGAGAACATTGTCATCATCTCTCGGATGCCATTGGCATCTCTCCATACCGACCACGACCTCTCGTGGTGTCGTACGCGTTGATCACGCGTGTCTGACTCTCGTCTGCCTGCGAGAATGCATATCCACGCTGCTTGCGCATTCTCTGTACCTGGCGCACCTTTCTGATAGCCTTCTGGAATTGCTCCATCCTGGAATAATTGTCAGTGAACAAGATGGTACAGATGAAACGGCTCGCGAGGAAACGTACCTGGGCCTGTAGTCCTGAATATTGTACTTCTGGATCTCCTGGATGTGGTGATACGTTTGTGGTCTGTACATGCGCTTTGCATACTTCCAGGCGAAATCTCGGAGCAGACATACGCCCGGCAAGACAACCAGTTGCAGGTAGAATACCGGCGATGTGAACAGCTTCGGTACAAGACCGGCATATTCGGTCGAGATGTCAAGTTTGGGTGCGACATAGGCGTAGACAGCAATGAAGACGATCCAAAGCGCCATGCTACCTGGAATCGCAATTACGTGGTATTTGGTCCAGTTGTTTGTGATGAGACCAGCCTTTCCAAGCACGGTGGCAAGCACAGCGCCATAGAGAGCTGTTCCCCAAACCCAATGGCCAGCGGTCGTACCGTCGTTGAGGATGTTGTCACCATAATAGAATAGCTCACTGCCGATATACAGAATGAGCGAGTGATAGAACGCGTTGATGATCCAGTTTGTAAAGACCCTGATCTTGAAGAATTGGTTCTCTTGGCCAATCGAGTATAACTGCGGGTAACGGTCGAGAAGACGCGCAGAGATGAACTGATCCAGGATACCGATGACCAGGGGCGGGAGGACAGTGTAGAAAACGTTGTAAAAGGACAGTGTCCACGATTCGTAAATGACCTCTCCAGAAAATACGTTTTGGAAAGTGTACTGAATTTGTTAGCAAAGAATCAGGAGAACTAGTGAGGAGCTGTCGATTTCTTACCCAAAATTGAGTCATGTACAGAGTAATGTTCTTGTAGAAGGAGAACAGAATGGCTCTGCTAACGCGTTGGTAACTCCAAGCACCATGAACCAAAGTGAGCTTTCGAAGGAACCGGAACTGGGCGATCGAGAAATCTGCGCTTCGTGCTGCCTGTAGACCTTCCATACCGCTGATACCCACACCAATGTGGGCAGCCTGAATCATGGACACGTCGTTTGCACCGTCGCCAATGGCGAGGGTAATTTCATCCGTATACTTCTTCACCAATTTGACGACCAACGACTTCTGGAGAGGAGAGACACGGCAACAAATGACAGCTTTACACATGACGGCAAGGTCATAGAATTGCTTCTCCAAATCCTTTTCCAGAGCATAGGTGAGCGATTTACCGTCAATAACAAGTGCGAGCGTGTCCATTTCAATCGAGCCTTCAGCGTTGTTGTGAATGGCGTCAAGCTTCTTCTGAATATTGTCGCGCGTAGCCTCTCGGTTTTCCTCATTGACAATCAGAAGTGTCATATCTTCACTCAGAAGCTTGGAACTCATGCCAATGTTGATAGCGGTTTCTTGTCGATCTCCAGTTAGGACCCAAACTTTGATATTGGCCTGCTGAAGCGTATGAATCGTCTCGGGCACACCGTCTTGCAGGCGATCCTCAATTGCAGTCGCACCCAAAAGATAGAAGTCATGCTCGATAAGCTCGGCGGCCTTGTCGAGCTCTTCTGCTCGGTTTCCACCAACGGTCGTTTGAGCCTTGTCAAAGACAGCATACCATTCTTGGAACTCCTGTTCGGGAACCTCTCTCATGGCAAGACAAAGGGTTCGCAGACCTTCAGACGCATATTCTTCCAAATGAATCAGAGTGGCGTCCACGTGCGGGTTGTTGTCGTTGAGACGTTCCAGAATGACAGTGTCGGCTCCTTTCGTATAGCACCTGATCTTTCCGTCGGGGCACCGATAGATGGTGGACATTCGCTTTCTTGTGGAGTTGAACTCACAGACAGCCAGGAGCTGGTATTCATACTCTTTACCGTCGACCTCGATTAGTACGGAACGGGGTTTACGAGCAACAAACTTGTAACCCAGTTCGAGAGCTCCTTCCACGAGTGCACCTTCGTCTGGGGAGGCTGCTTGGTACTTGATTTTGCCGCCCTGTGATTCGTCACGCTCGGGAATAACGGTATGGCATGTGGATAGCAAACTAAGAAATTGCTGGATGGCTTGAGAAGTCTCGTGAGATTTCGTGTTCTCACGAAGCCGCTTGAAGTCATGGATGCCAACTTCCACTCCGTCTTGAACGGTGGCCCGTCGATCTTCAGGTACCTCGTCCGCATATTGGATGCCTGCAATAGTACATTGCTTGAATTCCATCATATTACAGGTCAGGGTTCCCGTCTTATCAGAAAAGACGTAACCTACCATGCCCAGTTCTTCGACCAAACTTGACGTCTTGCAGTTGGCTGGCGTATCGGTCTTGTCATAGTAAATATCGAGATCGTCGTTGATTAGAATGCCATGCCAATATTTGACCATTTCGATGGTGACAAAGAGGGAAATCGGTACCAAGGCCGAAAAGAGGACCCAATATGTGACGAGGTCTTTGAAGATTGTCGTAACAACGGTGCTAGCACTGTCCAGCTCATCCAGCTCGAGATAGGGAATTGAGTCGCCCCTCGAGGACCGGAATACCAAGTCACCAATGGTACAAATGGCACTCAACACGAGGAGTAGACCAATCAGGGCCAACACGAGGATATTGAGCTGCCGCTCGACCTTGGTGCGCTTGATGGGCGTGGCCGTCGCATTGCGCATCAGCTTGGTCTCATGGCCAGTGAACACGACAACGCCGTGCACCCAAGGAGTGTTTCTTAGAGTGGCACCACGCAACAGCAGCTGTTCAGGGGTCAGGGCCAGTTCCTTCTCGCCGCCGCCAGCTTGCATACTCAGGGTTGCCTCGTAGGTATACAGACTGCTATTAGGCTGCTCAGATCGCACTCTGCCTCCCAACCTGCTGAGTTCGTTCGTGCTGATCAGGGCCGACGTTTCGGGAATGGCCTGCTTGATCTTGAGGTTGGTCTCTCCGTCCAAGTTTGCTGTTTCGATATAACATAAACCTTCGGGCTCGGAACTAGCCAACAATACCAGATCTGCAGGGAACGGTTCTTCGGATTCGACGCGGATAATGTCTCCAACAGCGACGTTGACCCATTTCGTATCTTCAAAGGTTGAGCCGCGAAGTACCCTGGCTTTCGAATTGTTCAAGGCGCTATCTGCCTGTTTTCTTCGGTAATCTTCCACCAACTCTTTTCCAGCCGAGATGATCAACACGGCTATCAGAGGGGCAATGGTGGTATACTTGTTCGTGGGTGAGAGGTCTGGAATCTGTTGTAGCGCTGCTGTAAACAAGAAGAAAACGTTTGCGAATTTGGAAAACTGTTCAAAGAGAAATTTCGGCAGGAATGTCGCAACATTGTACTTGGCGGTCGAGATGTGGTTATTGACGTATTTGTTTGCTGCATTGGCCGGCGGATTGTTGAGATGTATGATTCTAGGGCCGAGCGTCGATGGGTCAGGCTTTCCTCCGCCAAAGCCAAACTTGAAGCTCTTGAGGTCAAACTTCTTGTTCTTGCTCTGCTGTGCTGGGGGGGCCGAGTCTCCTCGCCCGCGGCCGCCATTCTCTGTGAGCGGCAGATCCATTTCCGAGTAGCCTTGGCCCATTCCCATCATCTTTTTGGCCTTTCCCAGAAACCCGCCGCCCAGGGCAAGTCTGCTGTTGCGACTTCTTGCATTGTCGCGCGCGTCCGTGCCGCCGCCATTTTGATAGTAAGAATTCGTGTCTTCAGGATAGTCGTCTGAGTCGTCGGCATATCTCTGAAAGTTATTCAGATCTGAAGTCTGGCTGTACTGCCTGTCATTCTGGGCCATGTATGGCGGCCGGGGGGCCAGGCCCGATGCGCCCGCCGGGGGGTTCTTCACCGACGGATGTGTTGTATGACTGTCGGCGCCAATGAAGTCATCGTAGGAGACAGAAGGGCGGGGAGGAGCGTCATCTGCACGCTGGCCGCTGTTGTAGCTATAGGTTGGCTGGTCATCAAGGTCGAGGAGGAGATCATCCTGACGAGAGCTGCCTCCAGGAGGCGCTCTTCCGGACATGTCGAATGGGCACTGCCCCGGGCTTGTTGTTGACTTTGGTCTTGGTCTATGGTATGGCGACGATGAATGTTATTAGTGTATATCAGCGAAGTGATGCTCGAAACATTTGATGGCAGATGAATGCTCGATTGGGATGCGCCGTGAGAGATCGTTGCAAGCTCGTACAGGGATTACTAGGGATGTCGAGCATGAAATCGGCGAAGCGGTTGCCGCAAAAGCATATGGCATGCGATCGGGGGTATTCGTTAGTGCTTTGGACGACGTGACTTGTCTTTGCAACGCAATGGTACGAACAAGACGGAAGCGTCAGTCAGGTTGGCGATTAATTTTTTGCAGATGCTGGTCTCAATGGCAAACAGGAAAAAAAGCAGGCGACCGACTGTCCCGAAGCAGAGAGTGCAACTTGTCACACTTCCTGTCCAGTCTCTTGCTTCGTTCTCTCGCCTTGGGCTTGTTGCTCTTGGGAAACGGCTTCAGTGCACAGCCCTCCTCTGCAAGCGCCAGTAGCCAGTAAAAACAGCGGGGACGTGGATGTCCACGAAACCGTCGAAAGGATTTGCGGGTGTTGGTAGTGGACCGCTACAGGAGGTACCTAGATGCCAATGCAACTAAAGCCCCTGGGTCAATGTACCTGGTAGGTGATGAAGGTAATGCTGGAGCCTGTGCTGGACAGATGCAACTTGAAGGCAGGCAGGCAGGCAGGTTTTACTGTCTGTTGTTGCTGGATTTGCAACGTTCAGGTCAATGCCGCAGCGGTGTTGCCCAGTGCTACCAAGCTTGGGCTAGGGTGCTATAAAAAGGGTGAACTTGAGGTCAAGGTATTTTACTGCGCTAGCGACCAGCTAAAGGGTACAAAGAACTGGAGAGCTGTTCAAACTTGCGCCCCCCGTCCTCCGTCTGGTGTCTGGAACCCTGGGCTGAGGCTCAGACCCTGATTTGTTCTCTTCTCGAGCTCTAAGCGTGCAGGTTTGATCCAGTGCCAATGTGTTTCACATCATCCCGCTCTCGTGGACAGGAGACTGCCGTGATGGATGAAAAGAAACCATGAGGAATTCTCCAGGTCCATCTCTCAGTGTGAGCAATCATTGAAGAAGTGCAATCTGTTCATTAATTCATTCTTAGGGGTCTAAATAAAGGAGCCGCCAAGCTTCTAGAGGGAAATGACGATTCATCTCATGTCCCCAGCCACGACTTAAAGAGCACTAAACAGCACAAGCTAGGCTCGCTGAGGGTTAGCAGTCCAGCAGCCCCAGGCTATTCAGCTGTCTGTGTGGTTTACCGTATCTACATCACCTACATACCCTGCACCTAGGTAGCTGCTGAACCCAGCCATCCGGACCGACGACGACGAATCTGACTCCTGTAGCCAGTGCTAACCGATCTTGTACGAGTAAGCAGGTAGCATTTTGTGGCTCGTCTGCCTCGTATTTGCGACAGACCCTTTTTACACGAGCATCGCCAGCCTCTTTTTTTCGCCATCAAGATCAGCATGCAAAGCCAGGCTGCTCCCTGGCAACCTGGTAACATTTCAATGTCAGTTCGTGATCCGTCGTGTATAGTCTAGGCTCTTGACAACAAGATCTGGTTTAACTTGTTTGATTTTGTCAATAGCATCAACGATGCCTATAGAGACTAAAAATAGCTGATTTATGGAGATAGTTTTGCGAAGCTGCCAACTACCGGCTGTTCCACAGTCCAATTGGTGCCATACCAATAATCATCGTGACGAGCCTGGCGTTTGGTGCTGATTGCTTACAACTTCTCCTTTGCCTTGCCGTCCAGAACAGGCTTCAGGAAGTCTCCAATGTGCTTGTTAATGGTCTCCGGATCCTGCCACATGGCCCAGTGACCAACACCTTGCGCGACCTCCTTCTTGAGCCCATTCTCAAACCATTTCTCCATTCCATCAGCTAGGGCAGGCGGAAGTGCAATGTCCTTCTCACCCATCACAACCATGGCTGGGATCTTGAACTTGAAGCCTCCCTCGATCTCTGCCAGGGGCTTCTCGTCCTCAAAGTTCAATTCTCGGGTGCGGTACCAGTTGGTCGGGCCGTGGAAGCCGTTGCGACTGTACTCGCGGACATAAAAGTCCACCATCTCCTGCGACATGAGCTTGGCCTCACTAACATTGTCCATGTTCTCCTCGATGATACCCACGTCTGTGCTAAAAATGTGCTCGCCATTTGGGCCTGTGCCGCCGTAGATACCATTGATGAACTGACGGAGTCGCTCTGGGCTCTTGTCTATGATGCCCTCAGCGACAGGACTGGCCAGCTGAATCTGGTATTTGAAGCTCGGCACCCGTTGAACTACTGCCTCGAGCGGAATCAACTGCGGGTGTGGTGGCGTATATGGCACGTTCAGTGTGAAAATAGCGGAAATCAGCTCTGGGTACCACACTAGAAGAATTCGGGTTAGCAATCATTTTCAAGGTAATATCCGTAATCAGTATACTGGTATTGATTTTTGAGATTCTTTTTCTCAAATTAAACGTTTCAGAGTTGCGGCGAATGCAGCCAGAATAGATAAAACGATGATATAGACGAGGGAAATGCTTACTAGCCATCCGCCAAACCAGAGCGGCGCCCCAGTCATGGCCACCAAGGATAATCTTCTCGCCCTTGCCCACAACCAACTCCACCAGCTGCTTGAGGTGACCGCTCATCTTCTTCAAAGTGTACTCCTCCTTGGGAGCCGGAGCAGATGACCTGCCGTATCCGAGCATATCGGGAACAATGACCCGGAGTCCCAACGACTGCAGGTAGGGGACCTGATAGCGCCAGGCCATGCCCAGGTCGGGCCAGCCGTGCACCAGCAGAATCGTGGCCACGGGGTTCTCGGGGGTTGCCAACATGTAGTGGTAGTTGTAAGGCCCAATCTGGGCATCCAAGTGCTGGACACGAGGGTCGTCTGGCTTCAAGGCGTCAACCCCGGACGCTCCGGCCTTAGCTTGCACCGCTGCCATTGTGATGGAACGTTTGTTTTATTTTGAGACTTCGATGTAGAAATGGAAATAAAGAACAAGAGTAGAAGACAGATCGGTTGGAAACTCTATCCTATAAAAACAACCCAGATCCTCCAAGGTGACATAGTACGGCCATGGGACTGACTAAATTCTGGTACGTACAACATGGAAAGCGGAGGGACCGCGGGGGACTATTCCTGTTAAGTCCTGAAGTCCGGGCCCGCCTCGCACTCGTTTTGAGTGCCGGCCGAGGCATCGAGGTCTAATAGAGGTGGGGCCAGCGCCGAGAAAGGAGTCGGCATAATAAACGACGTCGACGCTGAAGGCAAAGTCAACGACAAAAAAAGAGGCGGTGTCTAGGATTAAACACCGTCGGCGAATTGTATTATCATCACATAATGCATTACCGTATGATTTTGGTTCCTGGATGACAAAGCGAACCGACTCAACAGCTATAAAAGTCGTATGACTCCGATGTAATGCCATCCGCGAGTCCCGCACAGGCCGGTGACCCCATCTGGGCTGTTTGGTATGAATTACTATTGCCTACACCTCATCAAGGCTCAAGAGTCAGGCGCACGTTGTCCTGCTTCCCACTCGAATGGCTTTCTGCCATAGACGGCGTACCTGCAGCGCTGGGGTCTCAGCATTCGGCATCACGACAGAAAGGGTGGACATGGACTCACCAGGGTGTGTATCCTCGAATGTTGCCATTCTTGACCTCGTCTCTCGCGGCTGTGAAGAAGTCTTCGACTTCTTCCGGTGTCATGCCGGTACTGCGCAGTGCTTTGTATCCTGCGCCTCGCATTCCTGAGAGATAGTTGACTCTCATGTACTGCCCGACCACTTTGGCCTTCTTGTCCGAAGGCCAGGGGCCACAGGCCACCTTGAACTTCTCTTCCACTACATCTACGACTGTTCACAAGTCATCAGTATAAGCTCCAGGTCAAAAACACTGTGTAGGTTATATGCTGCACCATATAGGATAGCGCGAGAGCAACACCTATCTCATTTGCACTTACAGCCTATCTCCTTGAGCCACTCGGCGTAATGCTCGGTTTTGTAGGGGTCGATTCCGTGCAATGCTGCCCCCTTGGCAAGCAGATCGAACCACTGCCTGAGATAAGAAGTCGCAACACGGTCATCGCTTTGCGGCCCATCCTCACTGCGGAGGTCCATTCCGGCATCCTGAAGTTCAATCCAACCACCGGGACTCAATGCATCAAAGGCTTGCTGCAGTAGACGTTTGGCGTCTCGGATGGCGGCCAAGATCATTCGGACGTGGATATAGTCAAACTTGTAGGTCCACAGCCAATCGTCCTCGGCGTCCATTCTCTCAAAGAGGCAATTGGGCACGTCTGGGGTAGGCTGGATCTTGCTTAGATCCGTGCCGACGACAAAGGAAGTGGGATTGGCACGGGCAAACTCGAGCGCCCAGATACCCGTGCCCGTCGCAACGTCGAGCGCCAATCTTGGTGCTCGGGGCAGGGGAGCCAGCACCAGCCGGCCGTCCCAGAGATGAGCCATCATGGCGTGCTGGAAGTCGAGGCGGTCCTGCTCCGCGGCGTCATTGGGTAAAAGGTAGCCAGAGGTGCCATCTTTGTAGCCGTGATAAGTTCTGCCCGATTCGCCCAGGATAGAGCCTTCTTCGACCACTGAACAACCGGAACTCTGTCTGTCCAGTTCCGGGTCCGCAAAATGGGGAATGATGGGGTTGAGCTCCTCGGTACTCCACTGCGCTCCGTCTGTCACGTTATTGCCCGCAGCCTGCAATGGCAACGAGAATGGTAGAGACTGGCCAGATTCTTTCGTCTTCAAAGTTTGATACTCTCTCGTGAACTGATTTTCGGGAAGTTGTCCAAAGTGTGATAGCGCTTCGGCAGGTAGCTCTATAGAACCCTCCCACGCCGGGTGCAAGGGCTGCCCACTTTGGTTGCCCGCATCGGAGCTGGCTTCATTTTTTGACATTGCGTATCTAGACACTATGATGCCCGACAGGCGATGCTCTGATATCGAAAGACGTTACGCGGACGTGAGTGTTGCAGAAGGAAGAACATGACGATAAATGTGACTCCCGCTGTATTTAATATCATATCAATCTACTAGTGGATCACCCACGGTCGAATGAAAGGCTGTCGATAAACGGCAAGGTACATACGAAATGAGTTTCTTTTGACTGAGCCGAGTCTCGTGATCCTCCGAGTGGAGCGTTTCGGGCCATTCCCCCGGTCTTGCCTGCAACTACAGGGGTAGGCAGTAAGATACACCTGAACAAAGTATACATTTCAAGAGATAGCAAATTTTCGAAACGTTATGCTCTGTTTCAAAAAGATGTTTCCTGTGTGCGTCTCTTTTGACAGTCGGAACAGAAGACATCTCTACTGATATCAAGGAAAGCAAGCCTCTTTACTGTTTCCTTTCTTATATGACAAAATCATGCGCTCAGAAATGCGCCTCAGGCACGATCTATCAAAAATTGCAGCCTCATATAAGCAAAATTACTCCAGAAAACAAAACGGTATGTACAGCATTGGCGAACTCTAGAAGGGAGTCCCGCTTTACTTCCATAGACAAGCGAAACAGGCTTTGCGCGATTGTATTGACTCTTTGGTGGAAACAATGGACATCCTCAACTCTTGTCATCTCCTTCTCCGGTTTTTTTTCTTCTTAAAAAGCCCTTCGAAATGGATACCAGACCTCTGGAGAGCCACGCAGTCAATCGACCACCGTTGATGAGTAGGCGGGGTCTGCTCCTAGGATCATCATATCATGCTATATGTCACAAGAACAGGTAGTTTCTCGAATTTCATTCATCATTCATTAAAGTATATCTCTTGGTATCATAAATACATACCACAGAACATGGTTGGATCCAGTAAACGTCAGGACTATACAATTCCCAGCCATTTAGATTAAAACAAATCATAAGCAGTACCCTCAAAATGAGCGTTTAGACCTCGCTATGACCAGTCATCTTGCCTCCATTGCGGTGCCACTTGCTGAAATCGAGAAAGGCCAAGACCGTCTCTGCCAACTGAATCAAGAAGAAAGGGATCAAGTTGTACTGCCATCCTCTCATGACGTGTAAGTGGCTGAGCAAATCGCCGCGCCCGCTAACCAGGTCGAGGTGCGACACAGCCGCGAACCAGTTTTGCGGCGTCCACGAGCCCTCGGGGTATTTACTGCCGTCCAAATTGGCAGCCAATGGTTGGTTGATGGTCTGTCCTTCTCGGGCATTAGTCACGTTGAAGACGTAGCCCAGTGCGCCAACGGTGAGGAGAAGAGCCGGGATCTGCAGGGCAATCCATAGGTAGTAGATGTAGATGGCAAAAGACCGCTTTTGGTAGGGGGTCCTGCTTCTAATCCACAGGGAAATGATGCCTCCGAGGCCGATGAGGACAAAGGCCGTGCCGGCAGCGCCGTTGCTGGTATGGCCTTGGTCGGTCAAGAAGTTCTGCGGCATGCCGGCCAGGGGATAGGTCGACCCGTCATAGATGAAGTGGAAACCTTTGCTGGCGGTCCGGTGTAGCCATCCAACCGTAGCGCTGACAAAGCTCAGCTCAATGATGGAGATGATCATGAGCAGAGCAACTGCGAGTTTCAGAGCGAGTGATACTGGCGCCATTTTTCCTGGGTATGCTTCAAGTTTGCTCGTCAAAGTAGGTCAAGACGAAGATTGCAAAGAAGTCACAAGTCAGGATGGGCGCGCCACTGATCATGGCATGTATTTATAAAAATCCATCTTTAGAAGGGCAAAGTGCCAACGGCAAATTCTAACTTTAGGGCTGACATATGAATGGCCATCTTCCATGTACAAAGGCTCATGAGTTGTCCTAGACACATCTCTATGGTGTTAGTCCCCTGTTTTGGCCCCAACGCAACCCATAACTGTTGTCAGCAGCCGAATCTAAAATTGGCGCGGCCGAACTCTTTCTTGGCTGGCCCAAATGGTATCGTCCGGGGACGGAGGAGGCTTATTTCTGACACCACTGCCACGCTAGGGAACAAGCAATGAAGGAATGGGAAGTTCCAGAGGTTTTCTACTAGATCCTTCGTTCTGGGGCAGGTGATTACAAGGCTACGTATGTCGCGACCACGGATAGGTTGAAACCTAAGATACAAAACCTTCAATTAATGATTTGGAATAGAGCATGTTTAATAAGGGACTACTGAGAATTTTGATCAACTCGTAAGGCTTATGATACTATCGCCTGGAAGTTGACAAGGGCAGAAACGATGCAACCAGCTGGTGGTGGAGTACGACTTTGATGTTATCTCAGGATTTTTGGTATTTCTTCATCATTTGTTACTTCAACATTTTTCTTTTTCTTAAAACACCGACTGGCTGCAACCATATACATGTGTCGGCATCTAAAACTCAGCTCGGTATATATGATGCGGTGCAGATTATTCCATCATACTAGCTTTGGGATATCATTTTTACACCCAGGCTGGTATTTGGGCCTTTATTAAAACTTTTGGATCCTTGGAGCTTATTGCTCTGAATGGACTACTATACTGATATAATGGTCATTGGAGAAGAAATGCAATGTGCCAAGATTTTATATCCCAACTGAATCATTGCTCAACTATTGCATAAATATTAAGTGGGACGGAATCAAAGACTAGAGCTTTTGTGAGCCTCGATTTTTTTTTTCTGGATGCTAGTTGTTGTTTAAGTCATCTTGAGTATGTCATGTACCTAGTAGATTTGGCACATTCGCGCCGTAGTGATATATGGCATATATACAAGAAACTACCGGCTCATGTGGTCTATAGCCATTTCTATTCAAAAGACCTAGAACCTCTTTTGCCGTAATCATAAGGACGGTGAGTTGGTGCCTTCAGCGAAGTTACAGAATCTTGAAAGTAACGCCGTTGGCCCCGATTTGTGCTTTTCGATGATAGCTGGGCTCTGGTTTCATCGTCATTTTGAGAACTTGGTCCGAGCACATATTGTATTGAAAAGGCTGTAAATTGGAAGTTGACGTATTGCCAGTTGGTATGAAGGTGTCTAGAAGTATTGTTTTCGCTCTATCTAATCGCTTGCATTAATCCAAGTACATTAACCACAGACACCACAGGGAAGTCTAAAGTCAGAATTTGTCTCCGTAATCATCATATCAAGTCTTTTCACAAGTCGCCATCGACTCGTCCAGAGTCGCATTGGAATCCTTGAAATTAAATATCATCAAAAGGCACATTATATCGTCAGAAACCCAATTAAAAGAAATAAAAAAGAGAAAGAAAAACGTTCGTATTTAGTATCTTATCCACAATTTTCCATTCCTCGTTTGTTTCAATTGGCTGCTGGTCTGGCCCCTCGTGCTTTGTCTTCAATTCTTCGGCCATCATCTTGTGCAGTTCGTCGTAGTATCAAGTAATACAGAAACAAGTAATGTCGAAATCAGAAAGAAACAACAGAAAAGACCTTCTCTCTCTCCTTTTCTCCTCCCTTTCCATCCTTTGGGAAGCTGCTCTGGGGCTTGTTATTTATTTAGATGATGATCTATTGTTGTAGTTGGCATATAATGCGCCTTAAGGAGGGCACCGCTTAAAGGCCTCATCGATCCAATTGCTCAGAACGAAGTCCTCGTCGACCAAGGCAACCCAGCCACCGTTATTGTTATAATCGACAGTGGCAATGGAGGACTCGTCCGAGCTGTCTCCATCGGACTCGTCAGAGCTGTCAACCTCGGACTGCTCATCGTCTGCGTCGTACTCGTTATCATCCCATTCCACGAGTGTGGAACCGTCGCTCTCGAAAGAGCTCTCCTCGTCGTCCACGACGGCAGTAGGTGTTGACGAGCTCCGCAGCATTTTCCATCAGGTGGTCGCGCGGGTACCATTAGTCGTACATTGGGTAGTATCATTTCCATCGGACCGGGTATTCCAGGCTTGGGCGTCCGTACTGTCGGTTGATGCGGCGATTGACCAGGTGCTCAATCTCGTAGCTTTTTCATTCATCGTCATCGTCTTGTACGATTATTCGTCAGAGATACAGTTAAGAGAAAGGAAAAGAGAAAGAAAAAGAGAGAAGGAAAAGATGAGAGAAAAAAGGGAGAAGAGAATATAAGGGAGATAACAAAAGATGTCAAAACTTACTTCATAGCATACCACGAGGGCATATATCAAGGGCAGACAATAACGAGGGCGTCAAACGGCATAATGACCCCCCTGGCCTTGAACAGCCTGAGAAAAACTATAAGAACTGGAACGGGACAGAGCAGAGATTCCAAGAAAAAGAGATGTAGGTGAATTGATGTTGGGGAAAAGAAGATTTCCCTGTGGTGCCCTGAAAGCTCTTATTTATCCCTTCCGTAGCTGCTAACTGCACCTTCCAACAGCCTGAGTTGGCGAAGCTTTGCTCTAGGCGGGGAGGCACGAGCTGTATCAAATTCAATGTTGTTTGCTGCTGCAGTACATAGAATGCTTACCAAATACAAATCCGGTGTAAAGCAGACCCAGTCCTACACCAAGCCCGTTTTGTCACAAATGAAATAATCAATCTATGGAGGGAACAGATTCAGTTTTCTTTCAGATGACCTCTGTCATGATTGAAGCATTCATTGCTACGTCCAATGTCGTGGAAGTGAAGTGGATATTTCAGTCGGTGACTCCAGGAGCTCAGTAACATTGCTGCAGCGGGACCGAGCGCATACATTTCAGGTTTTGGGATGTTGTAGAGCTGGAAATATAGTCTGTGAGGCACCGGCAGGTTCGCAAGATTTTACAATTATGCCATGATGAGTGCTCAGGGCTGAGAGACGGAAGGGAAGTTTGTTGAGGCTTCAATCGATTTCGTTCTCCAGATCCAGC